TAAGTCCACAACCTCCCTTAAGTGGTAGAACAAACAGGTACAAAGCCTGAAAATTTATTGTTTCCTTTTAAACTCCAAATGATATTTGCAGATGCCAAAAGGCATTTTGAAATCATTCACCCTTACATCAGTAAAAATGAAAAAAGGGGATGGGGAGGAGGGAGAATCTCATGAGGCCTTATATGTCAAGTTTTTGCCCAGAGCTAATTTTCATAGCTATGTTATAAAACCCTGAAAATGGAGGTTTATAATGGAAATGCTGACAGACCCTTAACTATAGCAGCATGAATGGATATAATTAAAGAAAAGCTTTTGGCTACACCTAACTCCACAAATGAAAGACTGCCATTTTTATATTAACGTCAAATAACAGAAAGTGAGAAGTAGAAATGTGATTCTAGAAAAGTAACATGAAATGTTAAAGATGACTGCTGAAACTATTTGACATTCAAAGTTTTAAACACAGAGGCTTTTAGTTAACATAACCAAGTCAGTATTTTCATAAGGCTACTTAATCAGCAATAAAGAATGCTCTGGTGAGCCATCAGCTCCAGTTAACAGAAAGTGGCATATGAAGTTATGATTTGTTCCACAGCCTAGAGGGAGCTGCTTCTTCCTTTAATCAGTGATCTTAGTGCCTTCCTACCTGTAATTTCTCTGTCATACAGTTATAAACTATTACCCACCTCAACACACACACACACACACACACACACACACACACACCACATTTATGCAAGGACTGGTAACCTTATTCCCATCTGATTTTGAAAACAGAAGAGATAGCGAAGGCAAAGTATTTCATTTTGTCCCTTGTCAGGAATGCAGCAAGGAATAAATATCATCAATCTATGCAATCCACCTGCCTTACCTAAACTAAAATTCAAAGAATTTAGCTCTGCTCTTAATTTAAAGGGGGGTGGGGAGAGCCTATGCTTTAATTTTTAAAAACTGTCCAAAGTGGTTTTGACCTTTCTAATGTTAGTATTATATAGCATACCTAAATGACTGCTGTGAAAGATCTTCCATGGAGTTCCAGATTTGGGGTTAAGAAATAAAAGGAACACACTTATCTATGATTAAATAATTAAAGGACTTTTCTTGTTTTCTTGCTCTCCTTCTCTTCCTTATTTCTCTGTTTAAGGTAAAGTAATCCTAAATGATCTCTGGAGCTCCTCGCCAAAAGATCTCAAACTAAAAGCTGGTTTGTAATTACAATACCTACCTCGGGATAAAATGAAACTATCCAAGTCACAATTCCTCTTTTTATGTGTATACTATAATCAATCTCACTGAATAATTGTGTGTAAGTTACCATACAAGCTTCAGAAACTAAAAGGACTGCAGTGTCTAAAATGTGACAGCATTTATAAAGATTTGCACCATTCTTATTCATACTCTGACCTCATCCTTCTGTTAAAATGGGTCTATAATTTTGGCAACAGGATTTGTACATGGTTTGAAATTCTTCTACAGCAACTATTTAAAAGCATTGTGGATGTCAGGTCTTTTGGTATGTAGTCATAAATATTGCTTCACTGAATCATACCTTGTAATGACACTTTCACATGTTAAAAAAAGAAGTGGCGATGTGGGAATAGTGAGGTTGTTGGTTATTAGCTTGATCAGTTGACAAAGAAACTCATTATGTGCCTTTCTTGATATGTATATCATATTTGAATAAAATATTTTTAAAGAAAAAAAAAAAATAAAAGCATAGTCTAGGCCAGCACTGTGGTTCATTAGGCTAATCTTCCGCCTGTGGCGCGGGCACCCAGGGTTCTAGTCCTGGTTGGGGCACTGGGTACTAGTCTAGGTTGCTCCTCTCCCATCCAGTCCAGCTCTCTGCTGTGACCCGGGAGGGCAGTGGAGGATGGCCTAAGTGCTTGGGTCCCTGCACACGCATGGGAGACCGAGAGGAAGCACCCGGCTCCTGGCTTCGGATCGGCACAGCACCGACCATGGCGGCCATTAGGGGAGTGAACCATCAGAAAAGGAAGACCTTTCTCTCTCTCTCACTGTGTATAACTCTCTCTCTCTGTCTCTCTCTTTCACTGTCTACCTCTGCCTGTCAAAAAAAAAAAAAAAAAAAAGCAGTCTAGCAGCATGAAACAAAAACAAAACAACACATTTGTGAGAAAAATCAAATGTTATCAACATAAATATCCATGTCCTTTTATCATAGGCTTGTCCTAAAGATCAACAGCAACCCCTTTTCTACTCCCTCCCTCCAGAGCATAGCAACCTAGAAACTCAATTTAGATCCTCTTAAAAGAAAACTCTTAATATGAAAGTAAACTTATTTTCATCTTACATAATCCTACAATCTTGGTTAGCCTTTGTATATCTGTACTTCTGAGTAATGATCTCGCGGATTGAGACACTTTATAGCTTACAAGGTACTAGCAAGCAACATTTTTCCAACATCCCTTAAATAGCTTAGGCTTCAATGCTAAAAGACTTCCACCAAATTGAATTTTAAAAAGCAAGTGACTGTATTATAAGAAGTGAAATTTAGATGATTGATACGATGTTAATAAATCAAGACAAAGTATTGTAAATGAAATGTGATTTACTTGTCTCCACAGCACTCAATGCATTTTTCCAACTAACAAAATTTGGAACTCAGAAAATTATAAAAACAGAGTACATAAAAGTCCCTAAATTATAAAACGCAATTTTTCCATTAGCAAAAAAGAAAACGTAAATGCATTCAAAGGTATATGAATAGTGTTAATAATTTCAGGTTTGCAAAAACTTTGTATATTTCATTCAACTACCTCCAATTTATAAAAAAAATTTATGATTAGTTTCAATTTAGCTATTTATAAACTACTATAAAGATGGTGTAAAAACTCAGCTGTGGCAGTGGGTTAGAAATTCTGAAATTAACTGTGTTATTTTACTAAGTAACAAAAAAGTCCCATGTTTTTCCAGTTCCATCTAAAAATAGGGATGGCAGGGTAATAAAATAAAGAAGCAAATGGTAAATGTTTCAAGAATACAATAATCATTCTGTGTTTCTAGTTACTACTTTTGAAAAATTACCGGGAGTCCCAATTAAGAGCCTCAAGACAAAAGAAGTGAATGAATAAATATGAGAAAAAATAATTTTCTTGCTTCATATTTCCATTTCTCATTCTCCTACTACCAAGCTTCCACTAATGTTTTTAACAAACTTTTGTGTGCTCTTATTTTAGGGTACATTTTTTTTAAGTACACTCCATACAATCATCTAAAAACAAAAATGGTGGCTTTTTCATATATTTTTAGGGACAGAAAAACTGGTACTTTGTTTTCTTTTTAAGAAATTTGGGGCCAGCGCCGTGGCTCAATAGGCTAATCCTCCACCTAGCGGCGCCGGCACACCAGGTTCTAGTCCCAGTCGGGGCACCAGATTCTGTCCCGGTTGCCCCTCTTCCAGGCCAGCTCTCTGCTGTGGCCCAGGAAGGCAGTGGAGGATGGCCCAAGTGCTTGGGCCCTGCATCCCATGGGAGACCAGGAGAAGCACCTGGCTCCTGCCTTCGGATCAGCACGGTGCGCCGGCCGTGGCAGCCATTGGAGGGTGAACCAATGGCAAAAGGAAGACCTTTCTACCTTTCTCTCTGTCTCTCTCACTGTCCACTCTGCCTGTCAAAAAAAAAAAAAAAAGAATTTGGTAATATCGTTCATATTTAAAATACACACACATGACTTAATTCAATGTTAGGAATTAATCAACAGATATACTTCACAGAGATGGATATAACAAGATGTAAAATAAAAATGGGGTTTTTAATAACATAAAATGGTAAGCAATGTAAATATACATCACCGGGACTAATTAAACAAAATTTGGTACATGTACCTAATAAAATACTAAGTAATCATCAAAAAGAACTGGTCTTGGGCCATCCTTGTGGCACAAAGAGTTAGGATGCTGATTATAAGGCCAACATCCCATACTGGAGTGCTGGTTCTAGTCCAGGTTGCTCCGCTACTAATTCAGCTTCCTGCTATGCACCTGGGAAAGCAGCAGAAGATGGCCTAACTACTTGGATCCATGCCACCCATGCGGAAGACTTGGATGGAGTTTCTGGCTCCCAGCTTCAGCCTTGCCCATCCTTGGCTGTTGTTGCTATTTAAGGAATGAACCAGCGATGGAAGATCTCACTCTCTTTCTTTTCCCCTCACCCCACTGTTATTCTGTCTTTGAAATAATAAATACAAATTTAATTTGTTAATAATGAATAAATCTGGTAATGAATAAATTTCCCAAACTTGGAAATTTTACCAAGCTTATTAACTCTGAAAAATAGGTGCTATTTTTATGTGATCTTGGGAGAAAGCAGTCTGTACACTAACTCCAGACCCTGATTTCAAATAAAATCGCATTTCTATACACAACTTTTATACAACTTGCTAACAACACTAAGTAATAGTGTCTAACTTCTAAAGAACATGTACTTTAAAAGTAAAACTGTTATATAAAAAAGACTTAAAGATAATATTAACCATTGTTCTTATCCATCATTAAATTTGGGTTTGAGTATATCCACATATTTTACATACTTGCCTAGTTTAAGTGATTCTATAAGTTTGGCATAGGTGATTGGTGTTGTAATGGTACAGTATGGCTAAAATGTCCCTATGGAAACAAAATTACATATGCTTCAATGAAAGCCACCTCAGGTTCTAGCTCATAGAGTTGTTTAGAATACCCATAACACACTGCTGGATAATAAAAATTTCTGAGAGGCGGTAGGGGAAGGAAAAGTAAGAGACATGGTTCTGGGATTACATAAGAGCTAATGAGTTTACTTTTGCTCCTTATTTGAATATAAGCTTTCTTTTGAAGAGCTATTGTTTGAAAGAAGTTTGAAAACTACTGATTTATGCCCTTGTAGCTCTTCCTTCTACATTTAGATTTCATAAGCATGTCAAAGGAAAAATTTTAAATAAAATCAATATAGATGATATAAAATAAACTAGTAAATATAGCACAATGCAGGAAAACATACCTGATTCTGGCCAGAATAGCTTGTAGAAAGTTCAACACAGTCCTAAGTTCAGGTTCCCGACAAGCTCGCAGAAGCATACTAAATCCATCATTGAGCAGTTTCTCATGAGAAGGATACAAGGAGTAGCTGGTTTCAAACACTTCTTGAACACCATCAATGTAGATGGAAAGCAAAGACCACAGAGCCTGTCTCTGTGCCATTTCATCCTTCTGAGATACCAGGAATTCCTTTGCTTTTTCCCGGAAAGCACACGAAAGTTTCTCAGCCAAAACAGCAATGTCCAGATTGTTCTGGGCATACATCAAGAGGAAGGCCATCTGACCTTTCCAAATGAGGGCCCTGTGAGATGTTGTAAAGGCAGGCTTCAGGAAATTAAGGAGATCTAAAACATGACTTGCTACATCTTCAACCTCTGCCACAGCTGCTAATAGCAGAAAAAGGTTGAAAAAATTTTGCAAACCAACTTCAGTTAATTCTTCCATTCTTTTTTGATGGAATTTAGAATATATTCTGTGAAACATAAAAAATTGCTTTAATAGAATGGTTTTCTTAAAAAAAAAAAAAACCCCTACCTTTTAAAATAAATTTCATTCAATACTCTAGACATATTAAAATATAAAATACATAAAGTGTATAAAATTTTAGCTAATTTTAATATTGCTTTGTCATTTTTTCTGTTTAGAAAACAAACTCACACAATAGCCCTACTTTTCAGGTTTCTCAATGTTTCAGCAAATCATCTCTAGGTGAATCAAAGAATCAAGGGTCTCTCCCCAAAGAGCAGAAGAAATTTTTTTTCATAGGGTACAGAGCATTCTCTTAGAGTCGCTCATCACCTTTTCCCCCCTTATTTTTATCAACAAACAGGAAAGGATGTATAATCTTTTATGTACAGTTAGACATGTTTTTATAGAAATCTTAACAATTTTATACAATAATGTTCATTAAGCCCTTTTCTCCCTCCATCCTTCACAGACTTGTTCTTGCTTTACTTGTACCCTAAAACCATTTAAGTGCTAGAGGAACCATTTTTATCCACCTGCAAAGAAAAATCATTAGTGCTCAAATGTCCAAGACTACTCATTAAAAAAAAAAATCTTTCATTAGCACTACTTAATACAAATTAATGGTTATACTTTTCTTTCATCAATTAAGGGCTTAACATTGGTAGCAATTCATTTTGAATTCCTACTTATCGATTACGTTTTGTAACTTCTTTATTTAGCTTATACAGGAGAGAAATGACTAATGCTTATGAGAGGTTAAATGTTGATTTATAAGTAACTATGTAAGAGCTAATAAGCTCTGAGAGACTGTTTAACTTTTTTTGTATATCCTCTCATTTCCACCATCATGCTTGACAAAGAGTACCTGCCTAATAGATTTGTTACTAAACAAATTCCGATGGTTTCTTTTAGCAATAAAATTCTGAGTAACATGTTTTCCAAAAAATTGTTTAAGATTAAAAAAACAATCTGGCAAACAGAACAAAAGAAAAAAACTACTGTTTGAACCAATTATTGAAAGTATAATAGAAAAGTTATTTTAAAAAAATCTTCTAAATAATAAACACGAACTGTATCGTCACATTTTTAAAGGAACTATCAGTCACTGTGAAAATAAAATCTCATTCAGTAACTCTTTAGAAGTCTCTACTTAGATTAAGAAGTAGTCTGTTCTCAGAGAGGTTCAGCCAAACAAACAGATAGTGGTGTACTATACACTGAAGACTGAAAAAAGGTTAATAATCAATGGAAGTAAAATAAGCACAGATGATTAAAAGTTGTATCCATTAATTTTAATGGTTCCCAATAGAAAGAAGTGATAAATGAGATGATAAATATACCAATTACTCTGATTTGATCATTACATATTGTGTATATATATATATATATATACACACTGAACTATTACACTGTACCCTGTAAATCTGCAATTATGTGTCAGTCAAAAATTCTCAATTTTTAAATTGTATACATTAAACAATTAATTCTCAAATAGAAAAACAGACTAATATGATCAAAAGTTTATTTTATCACAATAAAAATGAATACAGTCTCACAAAATGAATTCATTAGTGTTACCTGAGTTCTACTACACTTTGCTGATAAGTATTCATGAAAAGAAGCAAAGCTTGTGAACTGCTAGACTTAAAGAACATAAAGCTTTTATACATTGAACCTGTTAGTTATTAATACACGATTTGGAGATTTTTTTCTAGCATTTTTAATGGATTAAGTAGTGAAATTATAATTAATTTTCGAAAAATATCCTAACAGTTTCCTAATATTCTTACATTTCATATATAGAATTCTTGTAATCCTCAACATTGTTGTGAGATAAGAAACTGAATCCATGAGTTATGAATATTAGGTTTGTTTCTGACTGTAACAAATTGGTAGGACCAAAAAGCCCCATATTTTGCTCTCACATTAAGGAATACATTTTAAATGTGCCAACTAGAAAGATTCTAACCACAAATTAGCTTAAAAAACACAAATGGGAATACTCTGGCAAAAATGAAAGTAAACAGTCACAACAAAGAAAAATATTACACACACCTTCCTTTGACTTGTTTCCAAGGATGAGGGCCATTGTTCTTCATTGCTTTCTTAACAACTTTTGCCAAAATGCAAAGGAAAATGTTGTAACTATTGCTGGATTTATATAGGTCATGGTCTTGTTTATCAGAAAAGCAGGTCTTCACCATTTCAAGCATAGTTAAGGGTGACTTCATATTAATAAAGCCTCTTAAAGGAAGCCAAGAAATAGTGAAGGAACTATTCTAAAAGCAAAAAGAAAACAAGTATTAGCACTTTAGTACATAAAATGGAAGTCACAAATTCTAATTATCTCATTAAAAGTTTTCATTTTATTCACAAAAACCATAGTATCTCTATCATATACTCCCTCAAATAAAAGTTTCGTAACAGCATAGAACATTAAGGAGTATTCAAATTATGGATTATCCAAAAACATGTTTCTAATAGTTGATTTGTCCAAATTAGGATACGAATAGGTCCATACATTGCATTCAGTTGATATGCCTCTTAAAGCTCTTTTATTCTGTATGTATCCCAAAATTTCTGTTATACTATTTTTTATAACAGGTAACATAAAGATTGAACCAGGGTGTCAGCCTGATCTCTTCATTTTAGAGATTCCTACCAGCCTTTCACTAAATGATTTTAGCAGCCACTGATAGTTCAGATGCCTTATTTCATCAGATGCACAAAATGGTAGTTTAAACTAAGGATTACAATGTATTTCAGGTTTTAATCCATTATAGTCATTATTCCTTCTTACGCTCAAATTTTCCCATTCTTTGGACAATGAGAGGTCCTTCAAGCTATCTCTTGTTCCCCTTTTTTAATAATAAAATATTATTTACTTGAAAGGCAAAGTGAGAGAGAAGGAGAGAGAGAAAGATCTTCCATTTACTAGTTCACACCCAGATGCCTGGGTCTGCGTCAGGCTGAAGCCAAAAGCCAGGACCTCCACTGAGGTTTCCCACACAGGTGGCCAGAACCCAAGTACTTAGGTTACTCTCATGCTGAGACATGAACAGGAAGGTGGACTGGAAGTAGAAGTAAGACTCAATTCTGGGCACTCCAATATGGGAGCTTAACTCTCAGTGCCAAAAGGGCTGCCCCTATTATTTTTAATAATCTCCATTATGTACAAATCCAAAGTTGGTATATACTGGTAAATCTTCCACTAACATTGTCCATCTTGACTGAAAAGTTCACTACACAAAAACCCACAAATTCCAAATCTCCTCTTCTCTACACAAATTAACTAAATCTTTTACACCTACCTTTTAAGTTTTCTTCCAACCCCATCCTCTCCTTTCTAAATCCACTGTTCTGTTTTAGTTCTCAGTCATGGTATTATCTGTTCATACTAGAATGGATTAACTCATCTGTATCCAATTCAGCTTTCTCAAACATACCTAACATGTCACATTCCTTGCTTTCTAATGTCTCCTGGATCAACCAGGAAACAGCTGTACATTATCTTCAACCTTTCATAGTCTAGTCCAAGACTGCCTCCTTTATTCATCCTCCCATCTCTCTCCCTAATAACATCAGACATATCATTCAGAACTATTAACACTGGAGGAATATACCATACTTGTTGATATCTCCATACATCTGTTCATAATGTTCCTTCCACCTAGATGCTTTTTATCTTCTATAGTTAGAAAATTCTACTCATTTGTAAGACTGTTAACAATTATGATATCATAAAGTCTTCCACAATTCCATACACTGGGTAGCATCCTCCTTCTTCTGGCATTTCACAGTATCTTTAACTTCTACCATAATACACGTGTACCTACCAATTAGCCTATAAGTTACTCAAGTGCTAAGACTGCAACTTATTCAAGTCTATATGGCCTGCTTAATATGTCACAAGCAATCAATGATTATTACAAAAAATTTAAAAATGAAGATTTAAAAAATATTTTTCTGCATTCACTCTCAAAAAAAAAAAAAAAAAAGAGGTATCAAGTGCTGTCTTCCTTACACCAATTCTCTAGAGACAATACCAATACTTGTAAAGGATAACTATTCTTAATCTTGTAACAAAATTAACTTTTCAAGATTTCATACTACTCATAATTAAACCACAAAATTATCCCTTAAAAATCATGTACAAATCCTTCAAATTTCCATCACAATTATTTATTCTGCTACTTACCAGGTTCTTACTATAATATTCCCATAGAATGGTGACAATTCCAATATTTGGTTCCCAGAAATCACAAAGTGTCAAACAACAATGAAGATACATTCGTAATTGTTCCTCTAATATACCATCCTAAGAAAATAAAGTTATAAGGGAGTAAATGTGCCCTGGTAAGATGACTGTTATCACCTGACACTGCACGAAATAACCTAAGGTTACAAAGAACATGAATATGTATCATCAAAGCATATCCATTTCATCTTCAGGTATACTTCTAAAACTTGTTTAAGGGACTATTAGATACTCAGAAAATGGCAATTATGTAACTCAATTTTACTTTAACCCAATTATTTAAAAAATTACAGTACATGTTTCATAAATTAATGACGTTAGAAACCCAAAGACTGGAAAGGAAACCCATATTAAAAGTGGAAAAAATGATCTAAGAATTAAGATGTGAAGAAATTGAGAAGGCTTGAACATACTTAAGTATCTGGTCAAATTCTTTTAAAGGATAGTAACAGCTATTCTTTTAAAAACCAAAGGCTAGGGATAACACATGTATTATCTTTCAGGAGATGGAAAAAGGAAGTAGACTTTTTCCTTTTTTTCAAGACTTATTTACTTGAAAGAGTTACAGAGAGGTCTTTCATCCACTGCTTCACTCCTCAAGTGGCTGCAATGGCCAGGGTGGAGCCAGGCACTTCATCAGGTCTCCCACATGGGTGGCAGGAGCACAAGCACTTAGGCCAACTTCTGCTGCTTTTCTCAGGCACATCAGCAGGGAATTGGATCAGAAGTGGTGCAGCCAGGACACAAACCTGCATCACATGGCTTCATTCACAACACTGACCCAAAAAGTAGACATTTTAATCTTCTATGATGAACTAATCATGCAAATTCATTTAAAAATGACACACCCAGGAATTCTCATCATTCAAGTTATATTTTTAATGTTTATTTTTATTTTCAGCTACTATAAAGGCAGAGTGACACACAGAGGGAGAGACTGTTCATCTGCTAGTTTACTCCCCAAATGCCCACAGCTGCCAGGGATAGGCCACCTTCAAGGTAAGAGCCAAAAATTCTATCTGGATCTCCCACATGACTGACAGGGCCCCAAGCACTTGAGCCATTATCTGCTGCCTCCCAAAATAAATTAGCACGAAGCTGGACTGGAAGCAGAGAAGCTGGAACTGGAACCAGTACTCTGATAAAAGATGTGGGCATCCCAAGTATTGGCTGAACCAACTCTACAACAACACTCACTCAACACTTACATTTAAAGCTTACTAAAAATATTAGGCATTGTTCTAAGATACTAGGCATAGAGTAATGAATAACTCAGACACAGACATAGCATTTGCACAAATATGACTTATACTTTTGGGAAGGAAAAGAGAAATGGATACTAGAACAAGGTAAATTCAAACAGTTCTATCTGCTGTGAAAAAAAATAAGTAGGATAATGCAACAGAGTAACTGGTGGAGGAAAAGCATCATTATAAAATCAGGTGCTATGAATGAAAAGGCCTTTTTGAGGGTAACATTTGAGCTAATGATAGAATGAAAGAGACTCAAACCTTTAAAAATCTGAAAGAGAAGCATTAAAACATAGAACTCAAGAGGAAAGTTCCTGAGTTAGCTTAGTATTATAAGGTTAAGTTAGATCTAGGCAGTTAGTTAAGTTAGATCTTTCTGAGAAGACTCAAATCATGATCTAGTCACTAAGAGCAATCTTGATCAAACAGGTATCTGCTAAATGCTTATTTCTTTTCTATCCTGTTTTTACAAAGTGACCTAGAATTGTGTGTATAATAGAGACTTCAGAGTCATAAATCTTAGCTACCAATTAAGTGAGCTTGAGTATGCAATTTGGAAGTTCTGAACCTAAACCTTCATATTTGAAAAGTGAAAATAATAAATCTGGGATGATATGAGACATTTAAGAACTAATATGGAATTAAAGATAGTTTACATTAAGATAGTACATATTTTCCACAAACTTTTTGAAGCTCCGTTGTATTCTATATTTCTCCATTTTGTACATTTAACCATTGCTGTGTTTTGAATAATTTCCCTTTAATATTCTTCACATACACACCCACGCACATGCACTCACATACACATACACACACACACACACACACACACTGAATATGAAGAGAAAGAATTTGCCCATTTTCAACTCCAGGTAGCCCAAATGAGAATATACAGCAGTGAAGAATAGGGGAGGTAGCAGACACATTAGTGCTCATTTATAAGAAAAAACAAACTGAAATATGGTAGAGAGGACTATCTGAGGAGATGTTCCCATGACACACTTATTGGAGTGAGAAAACAACAAAAGGAAACACTACAGAAAACTAAGCTGTTTGACCACAACAGATCTAGAACCAAAACATACAATTATGCAAAAACACAATGACAAAGAAGCACTAAAATAGCAATAATGAGGGCCAGCATAGTGGCGTAATAGGTAAAGACACCACCTGCACCACCAGCATCCTCTTTGGATATCGGTTCATTTCCCAGCTACTCTACTTCCAATCCAGGCTCCTGGCTTCAGCCTGGCCCAGTCCTGGCCATTTTGGTAAACTGAAGAGTGAACCAGCAGATGAAGATTGATCTCTCTGTCTCTCCCTCTTTCTCTACAACTCTGCCTTTCAAATAAATAAATGTCTTAAAAAAAAAGAAACTTAACAACTGGTTATAAAATACACATAACTGAAGAACTCGTTCATTTCTTTATGCATAAAAAACCTATCATTCAGAAACAATCAGAAGAATAAAATTTATTTGCAAGCTAAAATTACAACTGTTATCATTAATTTCTCTGCATTCATTTTTATGATTATATAAATAAAATTGGACTGTAGTATTCTAGTGAAGATTCCTCTGCTGAAGAAAACACTGTATTTTTAATTAGTAAATAGAGGAGTATCATCCCACATTATTTGGATCTAACAATATTCAGAGTCGTTTTTAGACCTGGACTCTCCAAATTAAGGTGTATTTGAGAAATCAAAATTAGTTTTTTAAAAAATCAGACTGCAGCCGGCGCCGTGGCTCAATGGGCTAATCCTCCACCTTGCGGCGCCGGCACACCGGGTTCTAGTCCTGGTCGGGGCGCCGGATTCTGTCCCGGTTGCCCCTCTTCCAGGCCAGCTCTCTGCTATGGCCAGGGAGTACAGTGGAGGATGGCTCAGGTGCTTGGGCCCTGCACCCTATGGGAGACCAGGAAAAGCACCTGGATCCTGGCTCCTGCCATCGGATCAGCGCGGTGCGCCGGCTGCAGCGGCGGCCATTGGAGGGTGAACCAACGGCAAAAGGAAGACCTTTCTCTCTGTCTCTCTCTCTCACTGTCCACTCTGCCTGTCAAAAAAAAAAAAAAAAAAAATCAGACTTGCTTTTTTTAGTACACTTTCAAGAATACTACAAAACTAGAAAACTATTCCTGTAATCTACAAAAAAATAAGGCCTTTAAAAAGTAGTTAATAGAAAAAACTTTTCATATGAAAATAATAATGTTTTAAAGGTAGAATCAATATCTGCAATCAACATTCAAAAATATGAGGAGTCTTTAAAAAGTTCATTGGCACTAAAAATTACCTTTTAATTCCATTTTCTCTGAAATCAAATTAAACAGTATCCTCATATTAAACAGGATTACCTCTTAAAAAATCTCTAAAGCACTTTAACTATTCAACTGTACCTATATAAGGAAAACTAAACAATATTTGCTATACTGAAGTTCAATGTCTGTTTCTGGAATATACTCAGGCTACAAAAAAATATGAAACATTATTTCCTTAATTAAAGCTACAGTCAAATGTTTACCAATTGTATTTGAAGACTGCTGCATATTTGGAAGGTGTGTGTGTGTGTGTGTGTGTGTGTTTAAACAAATGTGGCACACCTTGGCAAGTGGATTCTTTCACTGCTGGAGATCAAGACAAAGAGCATGAACATGGTAAAGCTTTAATTTACCTTAGAGGGAAACAAACAAATACAATCAAACTGACAGCTCTATCCAAACATATTTATTCTTCATGACCACCTACTGTACCAATAAAATTGGTTTCAAGAACTCCAGCATTTGTCTTGTACTACTTATGGAATATAAAAGTATTAATTATCAAGAAAATAAAGGTATTTAAAGAAGGCTTTCATCTCTTAGGCAAAATTGCAAAATTTTATAGGAATAGAGGTGATGCCAATTTCTCCCTCCTGTTGCTCCTGACCAGAATGGGTATAGTTATATTTATTCATATAAACCTTACTGTTTCCGAAAAGACACAATGAATTGAAACTAGCTGAGCAAAAAAGAAATTCATATATTATTATAGCTGAAAAGAAGTTTAAAAATAACTAAATACAACAGAAACAGAAGTTAGGAAAAGGAAATTTAAACGACACCAGTGGTTACAACTTAATTTGGGAACTAAACCTCTCAGTTACTGGCTTAGGTACAGTAACTGTCAATAGAAAAATAATGTAATCCAGACTTTACAGAAATTCTTTGGACTTGATTTTAACCAGGCTATGTTAAAGTATTAAGATAAGACTAACAACATATGCAAATAATGGTGACTACTGTAATATATACTTCTGTTGTTTCAAATGTTTTAGTAATACCCTACAATGAGAACATATAAGATTTTTGAGACTAAATCAGTATGTTCTCAAAAAGAATGAAGAAAACCAGTTAAGATGAAATAGAGAAAAAATGAAGTATAAATGAAAACTTGTACCGTGGTTGGGAAAAGATCATAAAAGGATTATAGGTCTTTTGTTTTTGCTAAAACTTATGTAAACAGAAATCTTTGGCATTAAAAGCTAGTATTTTTAGTTCATAATTGTAAGACACATGATATAACTAACTATACTTATGTTTCACCTAAAAAAGACTTAATATACACCTAATATAAATAAAAATAATTAAATAAAATTTTCAAAAGGGTAGAAGAAAAGACTTAGTACAGATAACAGGTAAAAGGAAAATTCAAGCAATTAAAATCATTTTCAAAGATGTACCTACTATACATATACACACACATAAAGCAACCTTATACTATAATATTTCTTTATTCCTCTTCAAGTTTTAAACAATATTAACAGAAAAGTAATTTATTTTTAAAGTTAAAAAAAATCTTTACTCTAATTCCTATAAACTTACATAAATGATAATTTATTTATATTACAAAGCTTTACAGAACTACAATATAACATGTTTAAAGATGTGATGAACAGCGTATTTGAAAGTATTTTAAAAGGAGGTCAAGTCTGACCTCTGGGCCATGAAGCACTACATTAACAGCTCTGCAGAAAGAAAAATGATAAGGTATGAAATGAATGCTCAGAAACTAGGACCTTATCAGTTAGAATACGATTCAAGCCTGTAAGACAAATTGCTCAGTAAGGCAAGTCACCTTCCTGCTGTGATGAGGATACAGCTGAATTTCCAAGTGCCACTGACTATCTCCCTCATCATGTCTCCTACTTTGATATCATACAAGGAATGGCTTATAGTTCTGAAGCATCTACCACTTATTTTGAATACATTTTGTCAAAGTCACCAACTAGGATAATTATCTTTGTCCTTTAACTGACAACTCAATGTTAAAAACAAAAATCTTAAAGGAGAGTGAGTAATATGAATCACTACGAGTTGACCCTTCAAAAATGATTCTATCAAAGATTTTTAATAAGAAAATTATTTTTTATTAAAGTCATTTTAACAGTTTGCTTGGTTTTTTCAAATAATATTTGTAACATAAAAATTTACAAAGTCCACAAACTGTCCAATTTTAATTACATACCTGAACACTGATGGACTTTTTTAGCAGTTCTTCTACAAAGTTCCAATTAGATACCATTTGTCTCTAGAAAGGAAAAAAAAAGCAAAAAAAAAAGCACTGTTTCATCATTAAAGTATTGCTCTCAATTATGTATATATTTAATATCATAGACATGAAGGACATTTTCTCTGCCATCAAATATCACTACAATTTCTTGAATTTCTAAAATTAACTAGACATAAGGTGAGTTGACAGATTTGGTAGGAAAAAAAAAAGTATAACTATTTCAATGCAATATAAACCTTAACTGGAGCTATCTCACTGAACAGTGGTGCTTCAATAAGATTAGAAATATTTTAATAAATGCTTAATTTCTACTCAGACATGATCTAACAGAAAAAACCCTTCATCCAATTTATATGTATTTTTGGAATTTTAAATGCTAAATGTTCTTTCCTATTCACCTTGCTAGAGATTCTTTTCCTTTCAATTTTTGCATAATGGCTCTGAGCTGGTCTACCTTGGTCACAAAAAAAGAAACAGAGAGGTAAAAACACACCACTATACAGAAGATTAAGAAAAACTTTGTACAGTGCTACTTCATTTAGTCAATGATTACCCCTCTGGTAACTTTGACTATCTGGAATACTTTCCACAATGAGGAGAGCTAAAAAGGACATTTATAAGGATTAAGCATTGAAAACAACTCCACTTTTCTGACAGGTCATTCAGTTCACTTAATGCTCAGTTCTTAAAGGTTCACACAGGTACAGGCTGGCATTGTAGCACAGTGGGTTAAGCAGCTGCTTACAATGTTAGCTTCCCATATCAGAGTGCCAGTTGAAGTTCTGAGTGCTCCACTTCAGCTCCTGGCTAATGTGCCTGAGAAGGCAGCAGCAGATGTTCCAAGTACCTGTGTCTCTGCCACCCATGTGGGAGACCAGGATGGAGTTTCTGGCTTCAGCCTGGCCCAGATCTGGCTGTTACAGCCATTCGGGGTATGAACCAGTGGATGGAAGAACTCAATCTCTCTCCCTCTCCCTTTCTCTCTCTCTGTTGCTCTGCCTTTCAAACAAATAGAAATCCTTAAAGAAAAAAAAAAAAAAAGGAAGAAGAAGAAGGGAAAGGAAGAAAGAAGGAGGATGGAAGGAAAAAGGAAGGAAGGAAGGAGGAGGAGGGGGAAGAGGAAGAAGAAGAGGAAGAGGAAGAAGTAGTAGTAGTAGTAGTCGTCATCGTCTTCATCTGGACATGTGGAGTAGATACTAAAAAAAAAGCCAGAAGCAGGGACCAGCACTGTGGCATAGCAGATAAAGCCACTGTCTGTAGCACTGGCACCCCATATGGGCATTGGTTTATGTCCCTGCTGTTCCACTCCCAAACCAGCTCCCTGCTAATGTGTCTGGGAAAGGCAGCAGAAGATAGCCCATATCCTTGGGCTCTTTCACCCATGTAGGAGATCTGAAGAAGCTTTTGGCTCCTGGCTTCAGTCCAGCCAATCCTGGCTACTGTAGCCATTTGGGAAATAAACCAGCAGATGGAAGACCTCTCTCTGTCTCTCCCTCTTTTTCTCTCTATAATTCTGCTTTTCACATAAATAAAATAAATCCTTAAAAAAAAAAAAAAGCAGAAGCAAAGAGAATCTAAGAGGATACAAGTAACAACTAGTTTCTAATGGGGAGAAAGATTATGAAAAGTAATCAGAAGACCCTAAAAAGCAGTCATTGGCCTTAAAGAGTAAAGGCAAGGACCCTCATATCCTCTATCCTTATTAAAATGATGTTCTTAAGAATGAACTCAAATTAACTTTTAGTTAAAGCATGCTGAATATTCATGACTTTAAATGCTTGACAGTGTTCCTGTGAGAATGTAACAACAGCTAATCAATAAATAAATACTACTTCCTTAAAGAAAGGTGATTTGATTACGGTAGCCAACCTCTAAGATGGCTCCCAATAGCCACTACTTTCTGCTTATTAATGCTTTGTGTATTATCCTCCATGAACAGACTACCAGTGTCAATGAGTGATACTGTATCACTTCCAAGATTCAATTACAAGACACTGGAATTTCCTTCTTGACAACACTCTGGTTAAGATGATCCGGGAGAAGTCATATCATGAGCGGCCTATGTAAAGAGTAACTGACTCCTTCTACCAATGTAAATGAGAATAGCAGTGAGTTCTCTAGTGTCGCTCCCCCTCTTCACGAAGGAACGACACAGGACCCTGCACTGTTCTTTTGTCTGCTCGGCCCTCCCCGGGTTTGCTGCTGGTTCTTCCCGGGTTGGCTACCGACCCTCCACCTCCGTGGAAGGGCGGTGCCCCCTGCCACTTTCCCCACTTCCGCGGGGGAGCGGCACACAGCCGGCCAGCTCTCTCGGAGGCTGCTCAGATGTTATCTGGATGTTCCCTTTAGATGTTCCTGGTGCATGTTGTCTCTCTCCTCCTTTATAGTCCTCTTCCACCAATCCCAACTCTGCTACCCACACGCCGAGTACGCTGCTCTCCTCCAATCAGGAGCAGGATCAGCTCCTGCAGGTCATCACTCAAGTTGGCGAGAGGCAGCTGCGTAGAAGTTGTTTACTCCTTCTCAGCGCCATATTGTGGGAGAGCAGATGCATAGAATAAGTCTTAATTCCAGTAACTTAGTCTAGTCCGAGTTGCTCCCCACACTCTAGCCCTATAAGTCTGCAGAAACTGAGGCCTGACTGACAGCTTGACTGTAACCTCATGGGAAACTGAGCCACAGCAAGCCAGCTAAGTGGCTCCTGAATGCCTGAGTTTCAAAAACTAAGAGTGTGAGGTAACAGTGGTTGTTTTACACTGCTAAATTTTGTTACATGGCATATATTAAAATAACCTAGTCATTTTTAGCAAAAGAGTTACTGACTTTTTGAAGTGAATCCAAAATGCATTGTCAGGAAAGAATATGGAATAAAAAATTTGACCTTGCCCAAATAGGCAAATGCAGATTCAGTCTTACAGACTGAGACCTGAAACTTGGTAGTTGGCCCCAACACTCCCTCCAAATGATACAATTTTGCTCTATCAATACTATATGTTAGGCTTTTTATACATTACTTTCTCAAAAAAATTATCATATCACAGAAAAACAATTACATCTCAGAAAGGTCATATATGTACATGCCAGAGAATGGATTCAGATTCAAGTTGATCTGACTCCATGGCTAGTATTCCTTCTCCTATACCATGTATCAGTAACCAATCTTTTTTTTTTTTTTCCCCTAGTAAGCCTTTCTTCAGATTTCAGCAATTTACTTTTATATCATTTTTTATTAAGAAAATGTCACTACTAGTTCCAAGTAAGCAGGAACATAATAAGATTGATATAAGTTTTAGCTTCCCAATTGGATAGTGTTAATAAATATATTTCAATTGTTCTGTTTTATCAATGCATTTGAATCACAAGCATTACAGAGAAGTAGTGCAATTCTCACCCAAAGAATTTCAGCTATATGGATCAGTACTGTGGCTATCCAAACAAAAATAAACCATAATTCAAAGGAAAGATGGCAGTTATATCATGCCAAATCAAAGAGAATATCTATCTAAGGAATACCCATCTTTCTTCCACAAGACAATCTATAGTTTTTTTTTTTTTTCCTATGTACTAAGTTACATCCTTATAAACTCTTTTTTACATACCAAGTTCTGCTAATAAAAAAGAGGTAGCAAGTTCTCAATTTGGGGCTATGTTACATATCTCTTAACTCACTATTAAAACTAAGACACCACGAAAAATATAAAATAGATCCTTCACCCACCACTTGCAGCAGACTAGGTAGCCTGCTGCAAATCTCATTTTAAGGTTGCATTTCACACATTTTTCTGGTTGCCATTTCAGATGTTTCAAAGACAAATATCAGTGAAGCTGACCGATCATACCATGTTCTGGGCAAGGAAAGCACTATTAAAACTGACCCCTGTGATGCCCAAAAGAATTTTCCTCTTTCAACTGTACTGGGTTTTAATAAACGACTGATATTGTAAGAGAAAAACATACTATGATCTAGATTGAAAGCAAAGAATGAAACAAAAATGTATGCAAATCTAAAGCCTCTAATATAAGAAGTGAAAAACAAATTTTTTCTCATAGCCCTATCCTAAGAAATTGGATAGTCTTATGATTTAAGTCACATATTGCAAAACTCCAAATTGCAGACACTTTTAAAATAAAAAAATTAACCATATGTAAAGCCTATTTAAAATGTAAAGATTTCATATTAACCTTAGGGTGAAGTAGTTCACAAAAATTCAATAATCTCCATATTGTCACAGGACTAGAGATATTTCTCTGATAAAGAACATATGATTGACAATCATCTCTCACACCAGATTACTGTTGAACAGAATAAAACATGCTTACCGCACAACCATTTTCTCTACTGTAGTTGACTATACTAATATATCATAAGGAAAAAACACTTAGATAATTTTCAAAATTCTGATCTACATATATAAATGAAATCCAAATTAATAACCTATATAATCTCTCTGAAAGAATGACTCAATATGCCTTTATGTTCATAGATTAGAATGACTATGTGACTTATCAACTAAGCTCAGACACTTTGGAGAGTAAAAGGGAAAATTAATAAGATAGGATGAGTGCATAATGGGCATACACTAGGACTGTCCTTGAAAAAAATGGAACAGATGGTTATACTTATTCATAAGAGAGAACTCTCTAATATCAAGTTTATCTAAGTGATAAAACAGGGTAACATTTAATCACAGTGTATCTCAATTTCTTCACCTGTAAAATGGATCTAATATCACCCTCTAACCTGTTTAATAGCTCTTAGAGATTAAAAAATCTCACTGTGAGATATTAAACACATTACAAATGCAATATATGTTTCACCTCCAGTGAAAACTACTAACTAAAGAGATTGAGTTTTCTTTAAAAGCCTTTATGAAATTCAGAAATATTTGACACTCTCTTGAGGCAAGGCTGATTTTACAGATATGTATATAACCTGTATGCTTACTTTTATCATATGAAAGGTTCTTTGTTAAACACAGCTTTTTGATTTTAAAACATTCTACATACTTTAGAGAATTAAGATTTTTTTTAAAGATTTATTTGATTTAGGCTGGCACCGAGGCTCAATAGGCTAATTCTCCACCTGTGGGTCCGGCACAAGGGGTTCTAGTCCCGGTCACCCCTTTTCCAAGCCAGCTCTCTTCTGTGGCCCGGGAATGCAGTGGAGGATGGCCCAAATGCTTGCGCTCTGCACCCGCATGGGAGACCAGGAAAAGCACCTGGCTCCTGGCTTCGGATCAGCGCAGTGCGCTGGCTGTGGCAGCCATTGGAGGGTGAACCAACGGCAAAGGAAGACCTTTCTGTCTGTCTGTCTCTCTCTCTCACTGTCCACTCTGCCTGTCAAAAATAAAGTAAAATAAAAAAAAAAAAGATTTATTTGATTTTATTTGAAGGCAGAGTTAGAGAGAGAGGCCTTCCATCCGCTGGTTCACTCCCCAGTTGGCCACAATGGCAGTAGCTAGGCCAATCCGAAGCCAGGAGTCAGGAGCTTCCTCCTTGTGTAGGTGCAGGGGGCTCAAGGACCTGGGCTATCTTCCACTGCTTTCCCAGACCATAGCAGAGAGCTGGATCACAAGTAAAGCAGCCAGGACTAGAACGGGTGCCCATATGGGATGATGGCACTGCAGGTGGCAGCTTTACCCACTACACTACAATGCTGGACCCAAGAATTAAGATTTTTAAGAAAGTATCTTGGCAAGGGGCTGGCACTGTGGCGCAGTGGTTAACGCCCTGGCCTGAAGCACCGGCATCCCATATGGGCACTGGTTCAAGACCTGGCTGCTCCATTTCCAATCTAGTTCTCTGCTATGGCCTGGGAAAGCAGTTAAAGATGGCCCAAGTCCTTGGGCTCCTGCACCCATGTGGGAGACCAGAAAGAAGCTCCTGACTCCTGGCTTTGGATCAGTGCTGCTCCAGTCATTGCGGCCAATTGGAGAGTGAACCATCGGATGGAAGACCCCTCTCTCTCGCTCTCTTTCTCTCTCTGTGTAACTCTGACTTTCAAATAAATAAAATAAATCCTTAAAAAAAAAAGAAAGTATCTTGAAAAAAGAAAAATCGCAATAATTGTTGATAAAAATTAAGACACCAGCATAAGCTAATTTATTATTTTTTTAAAGATCTTATTTATTTATTTGAGAGGTAGAGTTACAGACAGTGACAGAGAGACAGAGAAAAAGGGAGAGACAGAGAATAAGGTCTTCCTTCCGTTGGTTCACTCCCCAATTGCCGTAACGGCTGGAGCTGTGCCGATTGGAAGCCAGGAGCCAGGTGCTTCTTCCTGGTCTCCCCTGTGGGTAAAAGAGCCCAAGGACTTGGGACATCTTCTACTGCTTTCTCAGGCCACAGAAAAGAGCTGGATTGAAAGAGCAGCAGCTGTGATTAGAACAGACACCCATATGGGATGCTGGCGCCACAGGCAGAGGATTAACCTACTGCGCCATGGAGCCGGTCCCCAGCATAAGCTATTTTAAACACAATTTATTATCATAAATAAATCTCTGTAGATTTATGAAAATATCAGCAATAATCTATTGGTGTTCAGGTCACTGCAACTCAATACTACTCGAGTAGCAACAATGATATATATTGATGTGGGTAGATCACCTACCAAACTGGGAAAACCTGGGAGTACCTGAGATGCTGTCAGTACTAACTGACAGACTCCATGGATGATTTCTCACAGCAGAGTCTGTCCAGTACTCCAAAGAGAAAAATATGACAAGCTAATTAAGGAGTATGTTTCATAAAAACATTTACAGTGGGGCAGATATTTAGCCTAGCAGTTAAGATACTGGGTCCTATACTGGAGTACCTGGGTTTGATATTGGGTTCTACCCAATGTGGATGCTGGGAACAGTGGTGTCAGCTTAAGGAATTGGATTACTGCCATCCATAGTTGAGGAGACTCAGATTGAGCTTCCAGCTTCCAACTCTGGTCCCAGACAAGTTCTTGCTGTTGTAGGCATTTGTGGAATGAAGCAGTGGATGGGAGATCTCACCTCTACCTCCACCTCTACATCTGCCTCTCTGCCTCAACCATCTCTACCTCTACCTCTCTCTCTCTTAAATAAATTAACCAAAATTTTAAAAAGACAGAAGATTAATTGAAAAAAAAAAAATCTTCAAAGCAAAAGGTTCCTATGTATCACAGAACATGAGTACCAAGAAACTTTTTTGGAAGTAAGAACTCACAGGCCAGCACAGTGGTATGGTAGGCTAAGCCTCTGCCTATGGTGCCAGCATCCTATATGTGCACAGGCAGGTGTCTCAGCTGCTCCATTTCTGATCCAGCTCTCTGCTACGGTCTGAGAAAGCAGCAGATGATGGCCCAAGTGATTGGGCCGCTGCACCTGTGTGGGAGACCCAGAAGCTCCTGGCTCCTGGCTTCAGATTGGCCCAGCTCCAGCTGTTGTGGTCATTTGGGGAGTGAATCATCAGGTGGAAGACCTTTCTCTCTTTCTCTTTTTCGCTCTGTCTATAACTCTATTTCTCAAAAAATAAAATAAATCTTAAAAAAAAAAAAAAAACTCTTGGGGGCCAGCATTATGTTGCAACAGGTTAAGCCACCACTTGTAAACCCAGCATCCCATATAGGAATTGGTTTGAGTCCCAGATGCTCCACTTGTGATCCAGCTCCCTGCTAATGTGCCTGGGGAGGCAGCAAAGGACAGCCCAAGTATCTGGGACCCTGACAACCCAGTGGGAGACTTGGATGAAGTTCTAGGCTCCTGGCTTTGGGTTGCCCAGTGCTAGCTGTAGTGGCTATTTGGGAAGTTTACCAGTAAATGGAGGACTGGTATGTATATGTGTGTATCTATATATGTACGTACATACACACACACACACATCTCCAGTTCCTGTCACTCTGTCTCTCAAATACATAAAATTAATAAAAAATTAAATTAAAAATTAAAAATTAAAAAATGAATTTCTAAACTCAAAAAAAAATCTAGATCTCCAGGGTGAGACCTAGATAGAAATTTGAATTTATAAAAACTCAAAGGTAGGTCTGATCTTCAGTCAGTTTGAGAACCACTCCCATTAAAAAAAATTTTTTTGAAAATTTAGACACATCGGAGACAAAATTTCTAGAGGTTACTTTATGAAACTCAAAGGCTAATATACTATTCATTTCTCAAAGTGGAAGGCACTACATACAAATAAGGCCTCAAATAAATATATTTTCTAACTGGTTTTATTCATAGGTTTTTTTTTTTGTTTTTTGTTTTTTTTTTTGACAGGCAGAGTGGACAGTGAGAGAGACAGAGAGAAAGGTCTTCCTTTTGCCACTGGTTCACCCTCCAATGGCCGCCGCAGCCAGCGCGCTGTGGCCGGCGCACTGCGCTGATCCAATGGCAGGAGCCAGGTGCTTCTCCTGGTCTCCCATGGGGTGCAGGGCCCAAGTACTTGGGCCATCCTCCACTGCACTCCCGGGCCACAGCAGAGAGCTGGCCTGGAAGAGGGGCAACCGGGACAGAATCCGGCGCCCTGACTGGGACTAGAACCTGGTGTGACGGCGCCTCAAGGTGGAGGATTAGCCTAGTGAGCCACGGCGCCGGCACTCATAGGGTTTTTTTTTTTTTTTTTTTAAAGTATCAATGTAAAACCATTTTTCTAACTAGAAATTAATAGAAATAAACTTCATGGTTGTTTAATACATTAAAATATCTCTGCAATGGGGTGGATATTGTGATGCAGTGGGTTAAGCTGCCATTTGGGACATCTGTATCCTACATTAGAGTTTCAGTACCAGCTACACCACGCAAGTGATTCAGCTTCCTACTAGTGCATCTTGGAGACAGCAGATGATGGCCCAAGTACTTGGGTTCCTGCCAGCCCTATGGAAGACCTGGATGAAGTTCCTGGCTCTTGGCTTCAGTTTGGCCTACCATGGGTTATTGTGGGCATTTGGAGAGTGAACCAGTAGATGGAAGATCTCTCACTCTCTCTCTCAAGTGAACCAGTAGATGGAAGATCTCTCTCTCTGTCACTCTGCCTTTCAAATATATAAATTAAAAAAAAAAAAAAAACTACAAAATTCTTCAATAAAGAAGTATTATTCTCAACAAATACTTTTCTTAAATATTTCACAAAAAGCAATTCATTTCTAAAGACAACATATGATTTCCCTTTGCAAATCTGAGATTTTAGAACTAGAAAGAACCGTTAGGACAATCCAATCCCATGATTTTTAGATGAAGCAACAAACAGCCATTCAGAACAGTTTAGGTAAGTTACTTAGGGTCACACAATTACTTAATAGCAGAGGCAAGACTGGAAACCAAGTCTTATCTCTACACAATGCTTTTCCTTAAACAATAAAAAAAGTTATATTAGGATGTTTACAGAAAGGTCTACACATTTGTATAGAAATGTTATATATAGGTAGTAAGGATTTATCTCTCTAAGATTCCCATCTGATTTTTGGTTGTTTCCCTTCACGTCTTAATTTGTCTAAAAAATTTATATTAACTAATAATATAAGAAAGTTTAAGAAAATAAGACCTTACCGTTTCATCAGGTACTCCATGGCGATCAAATTGGTAAAAAGATGCTATATGAGTAATAATCCACCAACTAAAACCTGCTGGATCCCTGGACTGGATTATAGGCACAGAATGTCGTCTTCGGTCACTGGATTTTTCAAAGAGTGTTTTAAGTAGCTTATTCAACCAGTTCCAAAATGACTATAGAAACAAAAGTAACATAATTCAATTAAATTAAGACTGTTCCAATAACTTTTCATTTAAGATTTCCCTCACATACAAAATAGAATATAAAACTTCATATATACTTTCTAAATACTTTTTATAAATATTTATACACTTTCATATATAAATATATATAATTATACATAAAAGTATTTAAAAATAGTATATAAAAGTATTGAAAGTATTTATACTATATATATATATACTTTATAAAAATAAACTTTAAAATAATGAAAACATTCAAGTTAATTAGAACATGACTAGTACTTTAGAAAGACTCTATATGCCCCTACAATCACATCTTTTTTGATCCAGGTCTAACAATTATCCTGACTTTCATGATAAATCATTCTCTTGCTTTTATAAGTTTTGCCATACAGGTATATAAGCCCATAACATTGTTTGGCTTCACCTGTATTTTGTTTATACAGGTTTTTATTCTTTTTTAAAAGATTAATTTCTTTATCTGAAAGAATTATAGAGAGAAGAGGAGGGAGGAAGAGAGGGAAAAAGGGACGGAGGGACAGAGGTATCTTCTATCTGCTGTTTTACTCCCCAAATGGCTATAACAGCCAGGGACTGGGCAGACTAAAGCCAGGAGCCAGGAACTTCATCCTCCCATATTGAGTGGCAGGGGTTCAAGTATGTGGGCCATCTACCGCAGTTTTTCCTGAAGCTTTAGCACGGAACTGGTTCAGAAGTGGAACAGCTGGAACTTGAACCACTGCCCATACAGGATGCTGGTGTCACAGGTGGAAGCTTAATCCACTGCACTACATCCCCAACCCTAGGTTTTTATTCTTAAGTGGCTTGTTTCTACTCTTTAGCAATTTACTTCTTTTGTTTAATATTAGGTTTCTGAGCACACCCATATTAATGTGTATAGCCACAGTTCACTGGCATATTCTAATGTATGATAAAGAATAAACCATTTATCTAATCTGCTGCTGATTACTTATTGAGCTTTAATAAGCTTTTTAAACAGGTACTTCATGCAAATGTTCAAGTTATTAGTCATCAAGATCTGGCAATTCCTCTTACCTTTCTAATGTTTGCAGAATCTGAAGCTACTCCCCTTTATTTTGATTACTGTCTCTTTTTCAGGAAAGATTGGCCAATTTTAATTACATTCCTACATCTCAGACCTTGGAATTGGCATCACTATTTTTCAGCCTAAATCTTTCAGGTTTCCCTTCAATTCTGTTTCATAGATTTACTTCACCTCATTCTTGAAAGATTTTAAGTGGACAAATAAAAAAATATATATATATGTATATCCCTTCATTTTTGTCAGTACAGACTAAATAGGCTCTCATTGTATAAAATAAAATGAAAAGAAGGAAATAAACATAAAAACCAGATGTTATTTCATTATTGACTAGTTTAAAAGATTTTTAATTTAGAGGCACACGCTTTGTCAATGTGTAACAATCCTCTTTCTTTCCTGGATTCTTTTTACTTTCAGAATTTTTATTTGGATTTTATTGGTAAAGTAGAGAGGAGAGAGAGAGAGAGATATCTTCTTGTTAGCTTACTCCCAAATGTCGACAATAGCCAAGCCTGGATCAAACCAAAAGCAGGATCCTGTAACTCAATCTGGGTCTCCCATGTGTGTGGCAGGGACCCATACACTTAAGCCAGACCCAGGATGTGCTTTAGCAGGAAGGTGGATGAGAAGCTGAGGAAGAGGGACTTGAACCAGACACTCAAGAGAACGCAGGCAATTCCAAGTGTTACTTAACCACTGTGCCCAGTGCCCAACATCCATCCACCCTCCTGTTTCTGTATTCCTTTTCATTGGTGTTGGTTATAGGAGAGTGGGGGAGTCTTTGGTTTTTTAGTTTATGTGGTATTTGTTTTACAAGACACTAAATTCTCTACTTTTGTTTCCTGTTCCCATAACCACCCAATCAACAAAGAGTATCACCCTCACTCTCTTTTTGCCCTTTTGTTATCCAGAAAGTACACAAGAAACTTTTTTTCACTATTTTCTGTTCTGGCAATGGTTTTATATTCACTTTATGATCACTTCTAATTTTCTTCTCTCCTTTGAGCAGTTTTTCTCAAATGTGTTTGCTTGTTAAAAAGGTTTATGATATGAGCTTTGCTAATTTTTACTTCTTTCAATTTATAGTTTTGAGCATTCCTTTTATAGTTATACTGTTGGCATATCTTTGTGTAAATGTATTTGTTCTTGTTATTCTATCCTTTGTAGGGAGTTTATGTTTAGCCACCCATCAGTTGAATCTGGCTACAAAGAAATCAACAGATTGAAATTTTTAATGAAATCTACATATTATGAACTCAGGTTACAAACTTGCATGAGAGCTAGATTGAAATAATAAATACACAGTAACAATTTTAACCTTCTGCAAGACAGCACAGTTAAAGACAGGCTATTTTCCTTTCAAATTAAGTTGAGTTTCTAGTCTATCTTTTGGGTGTCCAGTTGTTAGCAGGTTTTCAACTTGAGTCAAGTCTAAGCTTTATTATTTCTATTCTTTTACTCTATCATGTGTGAAAGTCAAAGTTTGAGTTTGCATAATTTAGAACCTGCCTCCAAGGGCATGAAGCAGATTCAATGTCCCACTGATCTGAGTTGTCACATTTACTATTTGATTTTAGTACCTACATTCTGCTAGCTTAATGACACACTCAGAATGATTGCTTTTTTAAACAAGAAGTTCAGATTATTCTACTGTTATGAATAGAAACTGTTATTTAAAAAAAATTCTTATATTTATATACTTTTTATTTATTTATTTTAAAGGCAGAGAGACAGAGTTCCTATTCACTCCCCAAAGGCCTACTGTACCTGGAGGTGGTCCAGGTTGAGGCCAGGAGTTAGAAATCCCAGTCAATGTAGGTGTCCCATGTGGGTGGCAAGGATCCAAGCAGAGTATATGCATTAGCAGAAAGCTAGAAGTAGGATAAGAGCCACAACTCAAACCCAGACACTTCAATTCTGAACGCAGGGATCCCAAGCTGTGTCCTAATCTCCACTCCAAATGAATGGAAATTACTTACTTGATAAAAAAAAAAAAAAAAAAAAAAAAGCCTTTAAAATCTGAATATAACTTATTTCAGTTGTATAACTTTGGTTATTTTAAAATAAATAACCTTGTTACCCCAAAATGAAAAGTATGCAAATCATATAAGCTAAATAATTCTATAAATATAAATTTCTACAATTAAGAATTTTAAATTGTGCATATTTGAGTGTTTAAAATCTAGAAAGGCTACTAGAAATAGGATGAACATGCATATACTAGCTAAAGACACTTTCAGATTGAACGTCTTTAAACAATAACTCTAAAGAAATGCAAAATCCTTGTAATAATGAGTAAACATAGAGGTTACAGAAAATTGAAAAATTGATGCCTATCATGTCAATGAAATTTTTAAAAATTAGTAAATAATCAAAGGGGAGAAAACTTTATGACATTCAAAAAAAATAAAAACTTGAAAGTCAAAACATACCTTACACTTCTAGATGTTTCAAATCACTAATTTAAGATTAAAAATAAATTAGGTATTCTGTATCCTGTTACTGCTCTGTTTGGTGATTGCTATTGCTGTATTATAAAGAAAGAATTTAGTAATATTTTTCTTGATGAAACTACTGAATAAATTCAATATAAGAGTTAGTAACAACAACTACCATCAATTTTCCAACTTACTTCTGAAAGAGACCATTTACTTCTGTGGTCTAACAGATGAATGAGTAGAATCCATAATTCTTTAACACACAGACATGGACAATGATGATTCATTAATGCTTCAGTAAGCCTAACCTGTAGGAAAGAACCAAAATGAGTTACCTATGAGGCAGCAACAAAATTACACATGCTATACATGCTTCTTCCACTTGTTTTAAAAGAATTAGAGAACTTTGTTTTCAATTATAGAAAACTATGAAAAATATGCCATTTCATTAAATTCTAAAGTAAATTTCCGGGGGTGAGAATGTGACATAAAAGTTAAGTTGCTGCTTGAGGTGTCCACATCTTATATTGGAGTGCCTGGCTCTGATTCTGGCTCCTTTACTTTGGGTACAGCTTCCTGAGATAAGAATGCACATACTGGGAGGCAGCAGATCATGGCTTAAGTACTTGGGTTCCTATCACCCATAAAGGAGACCTGGATGGAGCTCCAGGCTCCTAGCTTTGGCCTGGTCCAGTCCTGGGTGTTGTTAGCATTTGGGAATTGAACCAGCAGATGGAAGATCTCTCTGTGCTGCACTGTCTTTCAAATAAAAAACTGAAAATAAATGTTTTAAGCCTAAAGATACATTTCCGTTTTAAAACCAAAACTACAGGAGCCAGTGCTATGACATAGGTTAAGCCTCCACCTGCATGCAGGCATCCCAAAAGGGTACCGGTTCAAGTCCTGGTTGCTCCTGTACCCAATCCAGCTCTCTGTTAATAGCCTGGGAAAGTAGCATAGGATGGCCCAAGTGCTTGGGTCCCTCCACCTATATGGGAGACCTGGAAGAAGCTCCTGGCTCCTGACTTGGGATCAGCCCAGCTACGGCCATTGCAGCCATTTGGGGAGTAAACCAGCAGATGGAAGACCTCTCTGTCTCTCCCATCCTCTGTCTGTAACTCTGCCTATCAAAGAAATGAATAAACGTTTAAAAAAAAAAAGCACAAAATGAATTTAATTTTTTACTTAAAAAATTTTTCTTTTAAGATTTGAAAGAGTTAGAGAGGTAGAGGTAGATGCAAAGGCAGAGAGAGAAGAAAAGAGAGAGAGAGAGAGAGAAAATCTTTCACCCACTAGTTCACTCCCCAAATGGCCCCAATGGCTGGAGCTGGGCTGAAGCCAGGAGCCAGGAGCTTCTCCCAGGTCACCCACATGTGTGTAGGGGCCCAAGGACTTGGACCATCTTCCACTGCTTTCCCAGGCACACTAGCAGAGAGCTGGCTCAGAAGTGGAGCAGCCAGGACTCAAACCGGTGTCCATATGGGATACCAATGCTGCAGGAAGCAGCTTACTCACTATGGCAGAGTTACAGCCACCCAAAATTGGTTTAATCATCTGATCTAGTGGTCAATAAGTTTTCTCTGTATTTAGAAATACTTAAAATATTGTTTTCAATATAACCTGTGTCACAACTACTCAATTTTGCTGGTGTATTAACGTCAGCAGTTACAGATAACAGGGAAGAGAGACAGGGCTGTGTTACAGCAAAATTTAACTTACAAAAACAGGTAGAGGGCTAGATTTGACCTCTGGATCATGGATTACTGATCTAGTTCTAATCCATGTAACACATATACACAAACACACAAGTATCTTATGAAAAGATTAGAAAACAATTTCTGATCCAATGAAAAGTGAAGTAAAAATTCTTGTAAGACAGAAAAAATACTTAGAAATTTATAAAGATTAAGTGATTGCAAAATTAACATCAATGGCCAAGAGTAAATGGAAAGTGTTCTGGCCTCTGGGCTTTGGCCTGGCCAGTCCCAACTCCAACTATTGCAGCCATTTGAAGAGAGAATCAGCAGACTGAAGATCTCTCTCTCTCTCTCTCTCTCTCCCACCCACCCCCCAACATGTTTTCAGATAAATAAAACAAAATTCACAATTCTTAAAAAAAAATTCACTGCCTCCATTGAGCACTCCAGCAAACGCAACCTAATAAAAACAGTCAATCGACCTTTCATGGAAAAAAGAGTAAACAAAAACTTTTGTTAAGTAATTTAAGTATTCATTTTATCATTATGTACAGCAATACAACAGATTATTAAAGAGATAGCTAGCCTCTCCTATTTGAACTGAAGTTTAACTTCCAGTCATTTCCACAAGCATCTTGTTTTATTTTTTTTACAAGTTAAGAAATACTATTTTTCTATGAAAAAAAAAAGCTCCAAGATACTAATTACTAATTGCAGTATATTCAAAATATTCCAATTGAAATTATTTTCCCTTTCAGCTCCTTTATAATAGTAATTAAATATAAAATTAAGAGAATTAACAAGTAAACCATTTTGATTACACTTACACATTTTGATTACAGACTAAACAGCACACCTTAAGGACTATTAACATTAAGTACCAAAAATACAAATAAACTTATAAAGTATTACCTTGTCATACCTGTTGAGTGATAGGCTTATTAAATCACAAAGGAGATTTTCACAATGTTCTTCAAACAGGCTGACATTGGTTAAATTATCACCTGCCAGATTCATAAACTGATGACTATAAACAACTTGTTCTAAAAAATGTAATAAAATAAATTCTAATTAAAACTAGAGGTTTTTTTATTAATTCAGAAGGGGAAAATAACTGCATACCTTTAAAAGACAACAAAATTGAAAATACACTGTTTTAAAATCTTTTCTGCAATTAAAAGTTGAATTTGAAGACAATAGCTATCTTTTTTGAGTGCTGATAAAAATTTTAAAAAGTTTTCCATCCTGCCAAGTATCATTTAATAACTTTCCTGTTACAATAAATCTAAGTATGAAGAGTATTAATGCTATATCACTTAAAAAAAAGTGAAGAAACACCATAAAATCTTCACCAAAATTTCTAATCAACAGACTTTTAAATTATTATTCTTTTAACAAATCCTAATAAATCGACTTCATGTAGTTGTTTTTTCAAATTTTGTACCTGTTATCAGAGTTACTGTTCTGAGGAAATGTGTGAGAGTCCATATGAGATAGGAAATCATGTATCTATACACCTCTTAATGCATACCTTGATTGTACCAAGAGGCCACATGGCAGGATTGACTTACACAATGTAGGTTTTCTAAGTACGCACTATGATGTGTACACAATGATAAACTCTCCTAATGACACATTTCTGAGGATGTATTCTCATCATTATGCAATGAATGACTGTATAAACTGACCATACAATTGGAAATAACCAGGAAAGTACAAAATAAGATGTGACACAGTATCAATTTCCACATATCAATTGGCAAAAAAACTATCTGAAATTATAATTGCAAGAGAATAAGATAGTCACGTTTACAAGTAATATATGTAGATTGGTAAGAGTAGCTCTATAGCAAATGAGTAGCATATATAATATTAAAACTGCAAATACATAGATTAAATATATATATGTACATAGATTAAATATATATAATGGGGAAAAATGTTCAGTGAAAAATTATTTTTAATATCACAAAATAATAGAAATGTTTAAAAACGGACATGGCTACATAAAGTACAATAGATCTATAACATTAGCCCTTAAATGAATAAAGTAGAACTATGTATACTAATATGAACAGCTCTCTAAAATATTCCCAAATAAAAGATCACATTGAACAGTATGATGATACCATCTGTGGTTAGAAATAAAACCAAAATGCTAACTATGCTAACTATGATATACATGTATATACTATACATGTATGTAATAGAAAGTAAGTATGGAAAGATGAACAGGCCAAGCTATTCCCAGTAGTTTTCTTTGGGGAAAAAAAAGAGTGAAAAGTTCTTCCTTTACTTTGCTCACTATTCATTAAAAAAAAAATTATAGAGGGGTGGGTATTGTGGTACATCAGGTTAAGCCACTGCTTGCAATGGTTGCTTCCCATGTCAGCATGCTGACTACTTCTGGTCCAGCTTCCTGTTAAAGCTCCTGGAAAGGCAACAGATGAGGGCTCAACTATGAGGTCCCTGCCACTAATGTGGGAGATCTGGATGGAGTCCCTGGCTCTTGGCTTCAGCCTGGCCCAGCCCTTGCTGTTGTGGGCCTTTGAGGAGTGAGTTAGCAGATGGAAGATCTCTCTGTGTCTCCTTCACTCTCTGTCACTCTGCCTTTCAAATATATAAATAAAATAAATCTGAAATAAATATCAGAAAGCACTCATCATTTCTAGTTTTAAAAAGCAGTGAAAGTTTAGAATAAAAAAGGGTATAAGTCAAAAACCCATAAACTTACTCATTTTTTCACCTAATATGTGAAGAATTTCTAGGACCAGCCAATGGATATCCAAATGGAGATGTAATAAATGCCATGATGGTGGAAAAAGCTGTGAATGACATTATCAACTGTAATTGAGAACTCATGATACATCACTCAGTATTTTATAGCATGAAACAACACTCCTTCACAAGCACAAGGATAAAGAACCAATTAACCTACCACTATTCAAAAGCTCAGGGAAAACCTCTGTCTTGTTCATAAGAGGATCCTTTCACTGAAGGTCTTTGAAAGCGGGATATAGTTTCATCTGCTGGTTTAAGATACACCCACCTTGGAACTGCTGAATAGACTTGTACAGTAAAGATCCCTTCCAACCAATCTCTGATTCTACTAAAGCTGCAAAGCAGTAAAAGAATTTTTTTAAACACTTGTTTTTGTGATTTTGCTTTAGAATTTTGCTACGAAAAATTTTTTTAATGTAATGAGTACCCAGGAACTCCCTAGACTACCACATATACACTATTATCCTCTTAAGAAATGGAGGTTATAAGACAGTTGAAGAAATTTAACTGAATTCATACAGTAGGATTCAAATCCAAGTCTATTTGATTCAAAAGCCAGTACTTTCAATTATTGTGTTGTACTGGGTTATATTCAATAACTATCCCCCAGTCAACATTTAGAATAACAATAGAAATAAATATAATGACATAAATCTGTTTCACTAAAACAACTAGAAAGAAAGATGAAGAAAGGACCGCATCATCAGATATACAAACAAAATAAGATGCCATGCTAATAAAATAATGTTGGCATGGGAATAGATAATTAAATACAGCAAGAATAGGGATGAAAGAGATGGATAAATATGGTATCTCAAATCAGCAGGGGAAGCATGGGTCATTCAATAAAGATGGGTTATTAACTTATCCATTGGCAAGAAACTAGAGTTAGATTTCCTACCTCACTGCTCATTAAGAAAAGACTGAATAGATTATACAACAAAAAGAAAAATTGACAAATATAAACTAAATAAAAAGCTCCAGTTATCTATCTGGGAAGTCAATTTAACTGGCGAAATAGAGAAATCTTAGAAAATGTTTGTAATACATACTACCTAACAAATAATGTGTAAAAAGAATTTCTTAAACTAGACAGAAGTTCAACTGAAAATACACATTAAAACAAGATGTTTCAGTTACCAGATGAATAAAATATAATATATAAACAGACTCTTGTAAGTTTTACTTTGTAAATTTTTTTTCATGTTTCTGAAAAGAACAGCAATGCCTTTTTATTTGTTGAAGAGTGCAACTTTAAAAATTCTGAGTTTCTGAGCTTCAAATAACCTAGGTAAACTCTAGTATGAGGACCTCTGTGCACAAATTTTTCTTTTTGTTGCTAGATAAAATTATTCAGTTTTATTTTTATGTAGTTAATATCCAGAAAATATAGTGATATCCAGTATAATTTATAGAAACTAGTAAAAAGGAAATAAATTCTTTCCCCATAAAATGCTCATGAATCTTTATTAAATGATATAATTAAAAGCAGTTATTTGCTTGCTTTCTATGGACTGGATATATTAGTCTGTAAATGCAGTTGGAACTCTATTTACTTTTATTATTACATATATTGATTTCATATAAAAGTTAATTTTTGTTTTGTTAAATTTCATAGAAATATAAACATTTAATTATATATTTTGGTGAAGACATGTTTCTAGAACCTGAATGCTACTCAAATTGATGAAGCCAAATAGAAAAGGCAAAGTTTAGGGAATAATGTTATAAATTATCATGTTTTATCTTTCACATTAAATCTCATTTTCTCATGGTGATTTTGTTATTTATAAGCTGGGCCACATGAAAAATACAAATTTTATTTTAAAAGTAAATTTGAATGGAATGATTACCACAAGTAAGGAAAAAAACGGCATAGTCAAAACAATCTTAATCATATGCCATAAAGATCTCAAAAGTCAGAACACAAGGTAGGGGTTGTGACATAATGCGTAAAGCTGCCTCCTGTGATGTCAGCATCCCATATGGGTGCAGATTTGCGTCCAGGCTGTTTCACTTCAGATTCAGCTCCCTGTTAATGTGCCTGGGAAAAGCAGCAGAAAATGGCCCAAGTGCATGGGCCCCTGCCACCTACATAGAGACCAGGATGAAGCTCGTGGCTTCAGCCTGGCCCAGTGTTGGCCACTGCAGCCATCTGGGGAGTAAACCAGCAGGTGAAAGCTCTCTCTCTCTCTTTCTCTTCCTCTCTCTTTGTCTCTGTTTTGTCTCTCCTTCTCTCTCTGTAACTCTTTCAAAAAAAGGATACACATGATTACAGTTTTGAAAGTATATTTTTATAAGGCAGTCTTGAATCTTACTATATAAATTATAGTTTGCCCAAACCTTTGTCAATGAGGAAAATGATACAAATTTTAAAATACAAAAGTTAGTTTATTTACATTCAAGCTTCTAAACATTTCACATCTTCATAAACAAAAACAGCTATTGGTTCAGTGTATACTACATGTTTTAAACATTTTGTACATATTCATTTATTAAATTCTCTCAATAACTCTAGAAGTTATATGAATTATACAGTTAAGGAGAGGGATGAGATGAGACATTTTTTTCCAAAAAACATATAATTAATAAAAGGGGAGGCCAACACTCAGGCAGTCTGCTTCCAGAGCTGTACTCTTGACTGATTTGTTTCACTCTTGAATAAATATTTCTTATGGGGAGAAAGCGCTGATAATTCAAAAATTAAATGAAACAAGTCAAACCTTAGTGTGGTTTTGATTTACAAATGCTCCTATGGTAACACTGGGAAGTTCAGATAGATGTCCAATATACAAGAGTAATCCATGCAGCTCATCAACCAACACTGAGGGAAGCTGAGCCTCCAAAGTCTCATAGGGATGGACAGGAACATGACTCTCAGCCTCTTGTACTTTCAGATATCTGAAAAATGATTATATATATTAAACAACAATAGTCTGGAAAATATCCACATAGAAATTCATGCAATAATCAAAATATTCATCTGACATCCTACCTGAAGATGAAAACTTTAACATAATGGAGAAATATTACGCACTGTTGTCTAATACTGTCTGCTTTCTCATGTAGGGCTGATATCTTCCCTGAAACCAAAATAGACAATGTTAACCATAGCATAAATAATCAGCAGGCATTAGTGACTTCATAAGCCATATTAACAGCAATTCTCTATCTTGTAACTTCCCATGGATTTCCCTGTCATTCTTGCCCACATCACTCCTCAAAACTACTCTTACCAAGGTCACCAATGAAAGCCATGTTGCCTAAGCTAATGGATACTATCTGTCCTCAAATAACTTGTCTTCAGTATAGCAGTAGCTACACGTGGCTTTACTGAAGCCATATATGACTGGTGTTTTTATCTACCTCTTTGCTGGCTCTTCTTTCGCAACTTTACTACCATCATGGGGTCTCCTCAGGAGTCAGTTCTGAGTCTCACTCTCTTTTCTACACATCTCTTCCGACATGTTGGATGTCTTCAGTTCCTTTATTAATCAATGATAGACTCCCAGAGGTTTACATAAACCTCATATTTTTCCTTTGAACTCCAGACCTTGTGTGTCAACCAGCATAACAGGCTTCTAAACTCAAATAGTATTTTCCGACACACTGCTCAGATAATGCAAAAAATGCATTCTTTGCTTTCCTTCACAACTTCTTCATGCTAAGTTTCCTCCATTTCATTCCATAATGCTACCAGCAGCTTATTTCTTCCTTGATTCTACCATTGCATTTACCCTCCATCACAGTCCCATTAAGTTTATAATCAAATATATCTTGAAATAGTCATTTTCTTTTTACTGTCTTAAACTACTGCAACAGGGCTCCTCACACGTCTTCCTTTTTACCCTCTTGAAGCACCAAATCTACTTAAAATATGTCTCAACTTTTATTACTCCCAAGTCAAAATCCATGAAAGGCTACCAACTGTATTTAGAAAGAAATCAAAATTGTTTATAATTATTTACAGGCTCTCTTCTCTTTCTTCTAATCTCACCCCACGTCATCTTTCCCTCCTTTAACATTTATACCATCTAAAATTATCAATTATTAGCATGATGTACAAAATATTGAAGTAAAAGATACTCATGAAATAAAAAGAGAGAAAATACATATGAATTACAGGGAATAAACCCTAAACCATATTAAATGTAAAACAAAATTCATTTCTAAATTTGAATTCAAATAAGCAAACATGACTACTACTTTGACAAAGCTAACATGACCATAAATGTCAGACTGTTTTGCAAATACCTACATATTAAACTACATTGTTATGCCTTAATTTCATCTACAAAAAGTTACAGACCATGATATGGTTTGAATATGGTTTGTCCCCTCCAAAACTCAGGTTGATATGTGATTGTCATTGTGTTGGTATTGGAAGGTGGAGTCTTTTGAAGAGGCTAATGAGGTCAGTAGAGGAATTAATGTCACCTTTTGGGAGTAAAAGTTTGCTCAGGGGATTAGTTATCACAAGAGCAGGTGGTTATAAAGGTTGTTCACCCCATATATTTTGTCTGTTATGCAGCTCTTATTTGCTGCTCTTGTACTTGCTATTGTCATGTGATATAAACAGCATGTTACAATGTAGCAGGACACTTCTGCCAGTTACAATGGTCTGATCTAGAATTCACCAGCCTCTAGAACCATGGGATAAACGATCTCTTTTCTTTTTTCTTTCTTTTTTTCATTTCTTTTTTGTTTTACCTCTTTTCTTTATAAATTACCCAGTGTTGAATATTCTTTTAGAACATAAAATGGTCTAAAACTATCCCCCATTTTCACAACCCCCAGCCATAAAGACTGCTGTGAACTTCTGCAGCCAGGCAAGATGGAATGAAAGGGTCAGATTTATCCATCTCCCGTCTTAAACTTGAAACCTGAGAAACAACACAAAACAAGTTTCCAGGCACTAAAAACAAGGTAAAACAAGACTGCTATCCCAGGGAGAAGGTAAGCCCTGTGACTGCATCTGCTTAACAACTAGAGTTTCCAGGCTGTAATAGTACAGGGGAAAAAGCACAATCACTGTCCAACTCATTGAGCTGACAAGACATTAATTCTGAGTTTAGAGAAGCCTGAATTTACAGAGCAAAGAATTGAAGAAGAAAGGAGATTTAAAACAAATAACAAAAACTCTGGAAATGTATGCAATCCCTGCCCCTACCTTTACCCCACCCTCCAGCCTCTGAAGTCTTTGACTGAGTACAGGTATGTTCAGGTATGAGAGAAAATTACCCAAGACCATGGGAAAACACTAAAAAACAATTCTCTTCAAAGCTTATTCAAGCTGGGAAATAGTTTCAGTTCCTACCAGCAAGAATTTTAAAAACCTCATAATGTACCAGGCATTAGAAAGAAATTTCAGATACTTTACAAAACTAATTTAATAAGCTTAGTTGGCATTAAACTAAGCACTACTTTTGAAAAGCCCTAACAAAATTTTTAAAAAACCCTCAGAATGATCCCATGGATTACAAGGGATCAACAGCAAATCAGAACAATATTTATATAAAGAAATACAAGAAAATCCAGAAAGCAGCCATGGAAAATCTACAATGTCTACCATATAATAAAACATTATTAGATATTCAAAGGAGCAGGAAATTATACCACAGAACCAGGAGGGGAAAAATCAATCAATACAATCAAAGCCAGAAATGACAATGATGACAAAATCAGCAGCCATTTACATTAAAAATGTGCATGTGTACACATACTTCCCATATCCAAGATGGATGTAAGCAAGTATGACAACACAAATGGGTGATACAAAAAAAAAATCCAAATGAAATATACAGCCAAAAAACACCAAGAAAGGGCAACCTATCAGGTATATTTAAGAAATTATCAGCACACAGTATGTCATTCTGCCTCAACTAGAAAGCAACCCAGGGAAAATAAGAAATAGAACAAGAAATATAAGAAATATACATAGCAGTACGTGGACTTACATAAGAACTCCCTAGGAGAAGGCTGAGGGCCAAGGTTCACTACATGAATTTATTAACAAAGTCCTGATATAACTGCCAGCTGGGACAAGCAGATCTACTTTAGCACTTTAGCACTACTAACCCATCTGACAAATCTCTCAAAAGCTTTTCTAAGCACCAAAAATACCAAAATGTTAGTGTAACAATAATCACCTAAACAATCATAGCCATCCCTCATCACCCAAGCAGCATTGCTTACAGGATGACCTGAGAATTCCAAATACACAGATGCTCAAGTCCCTAATGTAAAATGCTGTAGTCCTCCTCCATGGATGTGTATACTGCAGATATGTGGGGTGGACTGCAGTCCACTATAGTGGCTTTAGGTTGTTAAGAGTGTTTTTTTAAACAAATAAGTTTGCACAATACCTTCTATTAACCCAATTTACTTATGTCACTGTATGTAGTAAACACATTTTTACTCTTATAATGCAATCTTGGTAGCGCCCTACAGGGTTCTAAACTAAATTCAGACTCTGGCATGATTTCCAGAGCCAACTATAATTTTTTTTTCCTCTTTCAAATTCATCAGTTTCATATATATCCCATATGTAGTTATTACTTACTCTATGCTCCCTAAATGTTTATGTTTTTAACATACTTGAATGTTTTTTACTGATTTTTACTTCCTGGAAACTCTTTCTGTCCCCAAAACTTTCCCTAAATCTTTTGCCAAACAAATTTCTTCCTGTCCTTGAGGACCCAGATCTAGAATCACATAATCATGCACACAAGCATAAAGCCCTTGGCTCCCATAGCGGCTCATCCGTATCTCCATGACTGCATTTTCCATTTACCATGCTGACTCATGCTTGCATGTCTTTCTGTGTTACACAACTACAAATTCTACAGCATTGTTGGCATCATATTTTTTCTCTTTGATTCATTAGATAATGAAAAAATAATAGTTAATTTTTGCTAATCATATACTCAGAAAACAAGGCAAACCAAATAAAATGGTTCAGAAAACTGACAGCGAACAGCTAGGGTATGATCTTCTTAGATTAATGATAAAAAATTTCTATAAAACATAAAAATAATGATAGCACCACTCTATGATAATTGTGAAAACAGAAAACATTTCATTTCTGAAAAGAAAGAAGGTACCATATAATAATCACACACACACACACACACACACACACAAATATCAAACAAACAAAAAAATACAAAGAAACACATATTTCCCTCTTCTGGCCATCAAGACTGTTGATTCTTTACTAAATAGGAGCCTTCTCATTTTTCCCACTTTTCGGATAAAAAATAAAATACCCAATCATTAAATTGATCCTACTCTTAACAGTATCCAATCCAGAATAAAGGTATATCCTTCTTTAAATCCTACTCAAAATCATGTAGCAGTTAAGCCCAAACTCTGTCACAAGCTCCTTCATATTCCTGATTCTTTCTGAGGAGGCCCAGTTCCTCATAATGTGTATTTTCCCTTGCTTCCATAAGATAATCAACCTGTTTGACTAAAAGTGCCACAGGTAGATGTTGGTTGCTCAACATCATTAATGATATATACTGCGCTAGCCTTCACAAGAACTCTTATGAGGTAGGAACTATTACTTGATGTGATATTCCCAATCAACTGGGAGTTGGAACCCCAGGCTGAATATAAAAGTTATAATTCTAAATTCTACACTGTATTAAATGTGCTGGAAAGGAGAAGCAGCTGGTCTGAAAAAAAACAACAACAACAACAAAAAAAAACAAAAAAAAAAAACACAACATACTGCCCTTCAACTTCCTTTATTACTTTAACTATGCTAATCTCTCCCAAATTAACAATCCAATAAATGTCAAACCAAACAAGAAAGCAGAGGTTAGCTTATTTTTAAGTCAGTTTTACCTTTAAGATCTACAGATTTGGAAAAAATAGCATAACTCTGAGCTACAAAGTTAAATATCATACTTCTTCTGAATGCTAAATACACTGTATCATGTGCTTCTGGTGTAATACTTTATAATATTGTAGTACACCATTACATACCATGTGTTAATCACTGTAACTTAAATTCACTGTAATGGAACAACATTTCTTTTTTGCTATTGAAGATATATTAAACTTACCAAAATCACAGCTAGCTTGTAACAAGGTTTCCAAGTTGTATAGTCTTTGCCTAATTTAAAAAAAGGGAGAGTTAATTTTAATATACACTATGTAACAAACATATGGATAATGTTTCCAAATCCACTATACTGCTTCAATACCTCTCCTTTATGGATGAAATTTAATACTTTGTGAATGCTTATTAAAGGGTATACTTTAGGTAGTGAAAACTTTGAGAAGACAAAATACAATTTTGACCTCCCCAAAACATCTATTAAAAGCTGCATATATCTCACAAATTATTTCAAATATCAAAAATTTCATTGTCAGTAAAATACTGTTTACATCCATAAGAAGTTTCAGATACTTACATGAAACATTGTAGCTTAACAGTTTTATAATACAGAAGTTCAGAAAAGGAAAGGAATAATGTAGCTAATTATGCAAAGCTATTTAGATGTCCCATCTTCTTGCTGTTCCTCCTTGTTGCCTTCAAATTCTTTAAGACTAACCCATATTCACGACTTATGCCCTCAACAATGATTCATAAACTCTGTAATGTTCAGGATTACATTGCATCATGTAAAACTCAGCCTATTCTTCTGATAAAACATATCACAACAGGCCATAGATATGCAACATCTCTTCTTGAGGTCTCATGGGGGGCTGGCTCTGTGGCATAGCGGGTAAGGCCACCGCCTGCAGTGCTGGCATCCCATGTGGGTGCCTGTTCGAGTCCTGGCTGCTCCACTTCCAATCCAGCTCTCTCTGCTATGGCCTGGGAAAGCAGTGGAGGATGTTCCAGGGCCTTGGCCCCTGCGCCTGTGTGGGAAAACTGGGGGAAGCTCCTTGCTCCTGATCGGCACAGCTCTAGCTGTTGCGGTCATCTGGGGAATGAACCAGCAGATGGAAGACTTCTCTCTCTCTCTGCCTCTCAAATAAATAAATTAATTTAAAAAAAAAAAAAAAAAGGTCTTATGGGATGAGGGTGAGAATACCTTCTGCCTCTCAATTTTCATATAAATGCATCAAATATCATTCTTAATGTGTTTCTGAATAACTGGTCCAAAACAGTGGATTTAAGAATCATCTAAATTAAATTTATTTTATTTATTTTTTTTAAGGATTTATTTTATTTATTTGAAAGACAGCATTACAGATAGAGGTAGAGACAGAGAGAGAGGTCTTCCATCGCTGGTTCACTCCCCAACTAGCCACAACAGCTGGAGCTGCGCCAATCCAAAGACAAGGGCCAGGAACCTCTTCCGGGTCTCCCACATGGGTGCTGGGGCCCAAGGATTTGGGCCTTCTTCTACTGCCTTCCCAAGCCATAGCAGAGAGCTGGATCAGAGGAGGAGCAGTCAGAACCAAAACCAGTAACCATGTAGGACACCAGCACTTCAGGCCAGGGCTTTAACCCAATGTGCCACCGCAACAGCCCCCTAAATTAAATTTATTTGCAAAAATGGTACTCATGCTTTTTTTCACAAGTTTATTTTTAAAAAAGCATACTGAAGTAATTAAAGGTGAGATGTGTGATACCTGAAATTTGTTTACAAATACTTAAGCCAATAGAAGGGAGGTTGGTACAAATGAAAGAAAGAAGGAAACCTTGATTCTTATTGTAACTGAGAAAGGATATGTGGAGGCTCATTAATCTATTCTCTCTACTACTGTGTTTTAACATTTTATAAAAACTTCAAAAAATGTCACCTAAGAGAATTAATCAGATTCTATTATGGAAGATAGATTTAAAAGTTTGAGTTCATTCTCTAATCATTGAAAGACTAGGCTTTTAAAAAAGTATTTAAATCTTTTACCCAAAATTATAATATGGTTCAAAACTTTAAAATTCAGTATTTAGTACATAATATAAAATACAAAGAATAAAGAATATGAAAAATCAATTTACAAAAACAATAAAACTATATTTCATCAAACCATTACCATTTGGTTATTGTTACTAGAAGATAATCAAGTGAGCAATAAGCACAATTCTGGTGTTACTACATTGTCAGTGTTAGAATCCACCCAGCGTCAGATCTCACAAAACTGAACAGCACCTACATTCAGGGAATTTGGAACAAAAAGTACCTGAATAAATGAAAGAGCTCTCTAGAGGAATCCACCAATGCTGTTTCAGTAACCCACTGAATGCCAAATAGTTCCACTGTGTCCTCTTCAAAGCTAGTTGGTAAAGGATCGAGATTCAAAAATAATCTGAAATAAAAAGTCTAGTTTAATTGCATAAGAAATATACTAAAGACCATAGTATATTACATCTTTTTTTTTCATTATCTGAATCAGTACGATACATGACACAAATAGTCACGAAACAGCTTAGTATCTTACATAATCAGGATCACTACAGCTAGACTGCATCAAAAATTTCAAACTATCTAGTGATTCAACAAAGTATAAAGAACAAAGTAATTCAGAGGAGAAAACACCCAAAAAGGATTCTAAGGAACCCACTTTTGCCTGCGTTTACTAATGGTCTCCATGTGTGGAATTTCATTGTTTGAGGGAACATTTGCTTTAAAAACAAAACAAAATTGAAAATTATTCTGACCTATATCTGGAGAAGAGCATAATCATGTTAGCTAATCTCTTTTAAAGTCTCTAACAGATCTATACTTGTCTCTAACAAGTATATAAAGCAACAAAAGTGCTTGCCTTTCAGACTGAAATCACCTCAGTAGGCATGGCCAAAACATTTCAAGAACAGTAATCTTACTGTAGTGTATACATATAGCTGCCCAATGTACAAATAAGTCTATAAGACTTCTAAATGTATAGAACATAAGAACAGAAGGTACTAGGACCACACACACACAAAGTGTATGTCTTACTCAAAAAGTAGTGAAAGCTCTAGAGCACTGTCCTACTGTCCTATTCCATAGAAAGAAATACCAACTCAGAAGGCCCAGCTTCCTATTCAAAGCTGAGGTTGCAGGAAGGTAAAAGAGCACTAGTTAACAAGCAAGGTCTCTTTCATATTCAAAACACTTACACATAAGCTTACTTGGGAAATCAACAACAGAACTCTCATTACTTCATGCCCTTATGACACACCAGGCCGATTCACAAAACACGGCTCAGCAAACACCAGTTTAAAGGATTGGAGGATGTCTTTTGTTCGTGGACTGTGTGTGGACCAGGCTAGTGCAAAACTGAAATAATAATGAAAAAAAAAAACTCCCTAACGAACAGAATAACCTGACGAAGGAAACAGAACCCCCAGCTTTCCTGCCTACCTCTTAAGTGTCCCACTGGAAAGGTAGGAGTCCCCAGAAAAGTGGTTTCCTCCTCCTCCTCCTCCGTTGTCAACAGCACAAGAAAAGCAAGCGGGCTTGCACCATTCCGTCCCCAGCTCCAGCTCGAGGCTGTCGGTCAGGAGCGTCGACACACCAGAACAGTTATCCATCATCTACTTCACGTCCTGAGCTGTTTGCGGCTCATTATGCTTCTCAGTAGGCTCTCCAAAGAGAAGCGGTGGGGAAGACTCCTGGAGGGAGGAGAGGAGAGTTATCCGACAAAGTTCCCCAAGCGTCCTCACAGCACAGCGAAAAACTGAAACACCCAGGAGCCAAATCCGCCCAGTCCCGACCCCGCACAACACCCCGGACCAAGGCTGTCACACAAAATGCACCCCCGACAGGACAGCGGCAGAGACTGAAAATCTGCGTGCTGGGTCGGATTCTCCGGCCGGGGACAGACAGAAAAGAAGGTCTGCAGGGTGGCCCCGGTTTCAACTTCCAGCTGTTCCCTGCGTTACGTTACTACACCGATCCTCAGCCCGCTTCCCTTCTGCAAAGTGGAGACAGCGCCCTTGCCAGTTCCGGGTGGGAATCCGGAGGGCTTCGCCTGGGCGCCAACCTGCACCCCTCCGGCCCGGAAGCGAGATCCACCGGGCCTGCTGCTCGCAGGGCTGGGAGCGGAACGTGAAGGAAGTCGGAGTCCCGCTCGCGGGCTTGAAAGCCTGGCAGGCGGGGAACCCCTTTTCTGCGATGCACTGCGTACCTGCTCACACTTCCAGCTTCGGAAATCTGCCGCTTGCGATCCAGACTACAGCCCGAGAATCCCTGGGCTCTACACCAGGAACAGGCGAAATTCCCGCCACGGCGCACCCGCGCTCTGGGAGGGCGGAGCCACGGCACAGCCCGTCCCCCAAGCGGCCAGTCCTCTCGCGAGGGCTTCTCTGAAACCACCAGAGCTCGCACTTCTCGCGAGAATCTCTCGGCCGGAACCTAGATACCGATACTTTTTTTTTTTTTATTGACACCGGAGGCCGGAAGGACAGGCTTCGTTGGGAAAAAAAAAAAAAAAAAAACTTAAAACGGGCCAAGGTGAGAAAGGCCTAAGGACAGCGAGGTTATCTTCTATCCCGGCGTTAATAGAGGAGTCTTTTATTCGAGTGAGACGCGGGGGTCTTGTTTACCCCCAGATCTGCGCCGCTCCCTCTGCTGCTTCGCTGCCAGTCACTCTTTTTGTTGGGCTGGAGGATGTTTTTTGTTCGTGGACTGTGTATGGACCAGGCTAGTGCAAAACTGAACTAACTGGGTGTTTGGTAGCACAGTTTAGGTCAGGCGGCCCTTGGTGTGGATTTAGGAACTATTTCTCCCCTTCTTTGCATAACCTTTGGGCAGAGGGTTGGCAGGCTTTTGTAAAGGTACAGTCGTTTGCAGGGTTCTTTTTACTGTTCTGTGAAACCGACTCCACAGAACGGTTAACACAGAAATAACACATTGCAGTATGTCACCGTTTTTGAAATTTATGAAGACTAACAGAATTTGCAGTGCAAATGCTGTGCTGGTTTGAGCATTTGCCTTTTGCTCATTCCTCTACAGTACGGTCTGTACTGTGGTCAATCTCTGCATGGGAAACCTATCATCATTTTCCCGTAAAGTAAATACACGTTTTCTGATGAATGGGATAAAGTGAGGGGAAAAATACGATTTCAAGTCTGGCCGCAACCTAGGGCTTTTGTGGTCGGTGTTATATCTGTTTTGCTCCTCTGATATACTGTGATACCTGATGCTTTGTTGAGGAGTGCTGCTGCTCCTTAATGGCCCGTGGGGAGTCTAGCATGAGGTATGAATCCTCCACAACCACCTCAAGGAATTATTACTTAGATAAGAGATTATTGTGCCCTGCCACTGCATTTAGGAAAGTGTGATCAGTAGACATTATTACTTCTTCCTCTAATCAAACTTTGAAATAGACTCCCTTTTCATTTTTTTAAGTGTCTAATGTCAACCAATCAACTTACTTGAATCCAGTGAGTGGGACCAACATAAGCTCCATAACTAACTTAAGCTAGTAGTATTAACATATTAGTAAGAATGCAGGTGGCTACTCTAGAAGAAATTGAAAGGAGCTTAGTAAAAGGGTCATTTAAAGAGTTGTAGACAGGGTTACCAGAAAACAAAAAGTGACTAGAGCTCCTACAGTTAACCAGAAAACTATTATCATCCTTAGGCCTAAGAAGTAAAGGGAAGGAGAGATTACCAGAAGGCATTGAGTCTTATTGCTATAGTAGACAGCAACTACCTGATAGCGACTTAGGATGCCTTCATAGAGGAACATAATCCCTACCAATTTAACAGAGCATTGGGAAGTACACCTTTCTTCCCACATTCTGGTTTCCGCCTGGTATCTCCCATGAGTCAAAATCAATTTAAAAGAAGGGAAGAATACTTTGCATAAAGTTTCCTGGGGTGGAAACTAAACTGAAAAAAGATGGAGAGTGAACCTCTCAGAAAAGAGTCAATTTTATTAGGCAGGTATAGGAATACTAAATGTACATATGTCTAATAACAGTTTCAGTGTACATGAAGCAAAAAATACTATAACTTTTAGGAGAAATATTCAAATAATTTTAATGAGAGCCATAGCAACTCTGCCCTCTGTAACTGATGAAACAAATAGGAAGAAAATTGATTTAAAGAAAACTTTAATAGCTGCCAATCAACTTGACCTAGTTGATATTTATAGGTGAATATATTCTATCCAATAATAGAATACATACTCTTGATAAGTGCACATATCCTAGTGAATACACCATTTTCTAAGTGATAAAATAAAGTTCACCAGCTTTAAACAGATTGAAATCATACAAAGTATATTGTCTGACCACAATGGAATTACACAGAAGATACATAAGAGATACCTAAAAACTTTAAATATCTGGAAAATCAGCAACACACTTCCAATTAACCTATAAATCAAAGAATAAATCATTAGGAAAATTAAGAAGTATTTTCACTTTAAATTAAAATGAAAACATTACAATTTATAGTACTATTTACATTAGAAAAGAAAAATAATGTAAGCATCTGTCTTGAGAAAGTAGAAAATAATTTTTAGCAACAAAGCAAGCAAATGAAGGAAGTAATAACTTGTAGAAAGATATAGGATGAAACAAGAAAAATAGAAGAAAGAAATGAAGTCAAAAGTTAGTTCTTTGAAAGGGTCAATATAATAGATAAACCCTCCAACCCTTTTTTCACAGAAAAAAGAAATAACACAAATTGCTAATGTAAGTTATTAAAGAAGTGTCTCACTATAGATTTTGTAGATATCCAAATGATAAAGATATTAGAAGCTTTTATGCCAATAAACATAGCTCAAATAGACAAATTCCTTGAAAGACAAAACTGCCAAAGCTCACAAAAGAAGAAAAAGGTAACAGATAAATTTGTGTCATTATAGTTACTTGAAACTTTTATTTAAAAAGTCCTCTCCTCCTCCTCCTCCTCTACCTCTTCTTTCCTTCCCTTCCCTCCCCCCTTCTTTTTCTTTTCTTCTTCCTCTTCTTCCTCTTCCTCTTTTTCCTCCTCCTCCTTCTTATTCTCTCTTTCTCACACAGACATACACACACACACACACACACACACACATGCTACTTATTACAAGAGAACTTCAGGATCAAATGTTTTACTGTTGAATTCTCCCCAACATTTAAAGAAGGAATAAACCAATTCTGTACTGACTCTTTCAGAAAATAGAAGAGGATTGAACACTTTACAGTTTACATTATGAAGCCGGAATTTCATTGATTATCAAAACCTGACAGAGACAAGAAAAGAAATTACAATCTAGGAGGGCAGGCGGAGACCACCCCAGAACAGACTGCTGGTGGTATCATGATGACCTATAACCCCCTGCCCCAAGAATATGAAAGTGATGACAACTCTTATGAAGTGTTGGATATAACTGAATATGCAAGAAGACACCACTGGTGGTATCAAGTGTTTGGCCACAGTTTGGGACCTATGGTAGAAAAATACTCAGTAGCTACCCAGATTGTAATGGGTGGTGTGACTGGCTGGTGTGCAGGATTTTTATTCCAGAAAGTCGGAAAATTTGCAGCAACTGCATTAGGGGGTGGTTTTCTTCTGCTTCAGATTGCCAGATACAGTGGCTATGTGCAAATTGACTGGAAGAGAGTTGAAAACGATTTAAACAAAGCAACAAGGCAGATTAAGCAACGAGCAAATAAAGCAACACCTGAAATCAGCAATATTATCGAAGAAGCAACAGAATGTATCAAACAGAACATTGTGATATCCAGTGGATTTCTGGGAGGCTTTTTGCTAGGCTTTGCATCTTAAAGACATGAAGGCTCTACCAAAGTAGATTCAAATATGAGAAAAGAAGTTTAAGCCACAGGATGCTCTCTTAACAGTACATGCCTCCAGAGTCCCCACAGCAGGGAGAAACAATTAGCTGGACAAAACTGAACTTACAACTTAGCAGTTTGACATCTGAAGCTTGGCAAACCGGTAACTGCAGTAAAACAACCTATGTGGCATGTGAATATAGTATTCTAGAGCAAAACATGGCTTCTATCATTATTTTAAAAATTGCATCTTTTTAGATACAAGCCTATAAATATCGCCATGAGCTGTAGATTTGGACAGAAATATTATCCTCTATTTAGATTATTAATTGTGGTTCATGGTATAGTACCAATAATTAAAAATTTATGTTATAGCTTCTATATTAGGGCTGTTTTTTTAAAAAGACTTATTTACTGGAAAGGCAGAGCGACAGGGAGAGACGGAAAGAGATCTTGCAACAACTGATTCACTCCCCAAATGGCTGTAAAGACCTGAACTGGGTTAGACAAAAGCCAAGAGTCTAGAAATCCATGAGGGTTTCCCACGTGGGTGACAGGGCTCCAGCCACGTGGGTCATCATTTACTGCTTTCCTGGATGCCTTAGCAGGGAGCTGGATGGAAAGCAGAGCAGTTGGGACTCAAACTGGTATACTCATAGGGGATGCCAGCATTGTTGCCGGCAATTTAAACTGTTGCACTACAGTGCTGGCCCCAGGGATTTTTTTGTTTTTTAAGATGTTTACAATAAACTGAAGAACAACAGACACAAAGAATTTCAATCCAGTATCACTGGAACTAAGCTCTGACAATATATAGAAAAGGATGATGTGTGATAAGAACATCAGATTTATTTTAGGAATGCAAGGTTGTTTCAAATTTCAGAAAGGAATCCATGTAGTTCATTATGCCAACAAACTATGAAAAGTAAAATCACATCATCATTTCAATAGATGCAAAAAAAGTTTTTGAAAAAAATCAGTATACATTCATGATAACAACTCTTGAAATTAAGAATAGAAGAAAATGTTGTATTGTTGACAAGCATACTGTTCACATCATACCTAATAATGAAAATGAATACTTTCTCTGTAAGCCTGAGAGCAAAGCAAGGATGTCTGCTTTCTCTGTGTCTTTCAACATTTTATTGGAGGAAACTAGCAAATGCAATAAGATATGAGAGTGAAAGAAAAGTTATATGTATAGGAAAAGAATAAATGAAACTGTCTTCATTCTCAGATGGTATAATTATTCATGTAGAAAATCCTAAAAATTTCCAGATCCGTGATTACAACTAGTAATTAATCCAGCAAAATGGCAGGATTCCATGTTAACATATAAAAATCAATTGCATTATTATAGACAAAAACAACATTTAGATTAAAAAGCAATACCATGTAATGGCCTAAAAATAAACCTTACAAAATATGCCCATGACTTTTTGTGCTGAGGATTAAAACCTATTGCTGAAAAAATTATCCTTTCACCATTTTCCTTTGCCAAAAACCAACTGACCATATATGTGTGTGTGTGTGTGTGTGTGTCTTGGAGAGGGACTGGTTATTCCTGTGGTCTATATTCTATTCCACTATGTCTAGCCTTGGATCAACACGTTTTCGATTATCACAGCTTAATAATTAAGTTCTGCCATTGGATAGTGTGAATATCCAGTTAAATAGAATAATACAGTATGATCATGATTTGGAAGGCTCAGTATTAGAATTTCTCTTAAAATGTATATATATAGAGAGAGATAGAGAGAGAAAGAGAGAGACTCAAAGGAATTATCAGTGAGAATCCTGGTGATATTTTCTTTTGTCAAAACTAACAAATGCATCCTCAAATTGATATGGAAATGCAAAAGTCTAGAGTAACAAAAATGATTTTGAATAAGAAAAGCATAATAAGAGTCACACTATCCAATGGCAGAACTTAATTATGAAGCTGTGATAATCGAAAATGTATTGATCTATGGCTAGACCTAGTGGAATAGAATATGGACCACACGAAAACCAGCCCCCCCAAGAGATATACACACACACACACACATATATATATGTATATACACACATGTATATATACACATGTGTATACACACACACACACATATGGTCAGTTGGTTTTTGGCATTGGAAAATGGTGCAAGGATAATTTTTTGAGTAGAATTCTTGGATACTGATACACTTTAAAAGGAACCTTGACTTTTACCTTACACTATTTAAAAAACTTAAGTCATTATGTGTTATAGAACTACAGCTATAAAACTTGTAGATATTCAAATCAATAGTAAACAGGGAGATGTAAAGCTGGTTCTTACTTAAGAGAAAACTTGAGTATGCGATATGATATAATGATATGATATCTATCATGAAATCTAAGAGGTATATTTTGTGAGAGACTGGACACTGTATATCAAACACTGCTGTTAACTTGAAAATGCAAGTTATCCATTGGGTGTGGCAAGATATAGATCATTATTGATGTTAGTAAGAGTCATTTCAGTTTAATAATAGGTTTCAGCTTATTAATGATTGTTATGGGTCAGATGGAAAATGGGAGGTAAGTAAGCTAATCTGGGAATTTTAACCAGAAATTAAAATAAATGAGAAAAATTGAGCAAGAGAGAAATGTGGCAGTCAACAGACAGAAGGTTGAAGACAGGAGATAGTAGAACATGTTTTGGAGGTTATGGTAATTTTCAAGCATAAAAGGAAAATTTTCTGCTGAAGAGGAGAATGATTGCAGGGGTTCATGCACTGAGATGAGAGCTGATGCCATCACTACACAGATGACTTATCAACCCCTGATAGAATCAAGGACAATTTTTCATTATAAAAGAATAAAAGGCATGCTGATAAAGAAGGCCAAAGTTGGTGAATTGGGTGGCAGGAAGTTTAGTTAGTTCCTGCTTTATTTCATCTATTGTCTCTGTTTCATCTATTGTCTCTATAACACATGAATTGTAAATGAGAAGAAAGAGTGGTTGTTAGGGATTTGAGAAGAGGAAAAGTGTGAGTGTGATATAGTCATTTTGGTTGAGTAAAAAAGTATATTTACTATGAGGGTCTAATAGGATTGTCTGGGAGTGTTGAGTGACCATCTGAGATTTATGACAAAAAAATTATAGGTCAGTCAGCATGGTTTTGTCAGTTTTTCCAGCAACACTCAGCTATTTGGTAAAAGAAGCAAGGATATATGATGGTAATTGCATGTTGTAGTTTGGGTGAACCCATTCTAACTTGCAACTTCCTTTTAATGTATTCACAAGTCATCTATTTGATAATTTATTTTATGTTTATAGATATCAGATTCAAAGCCAGTACTTTATGTTTTTAGTAAAGAAACTTTTCACAGATTCAACTTAATATAATATATTCCAATGGTTAAAAGTCTGCAGTGTGGGCCAGCGCCGTGGCTCAATAGGCTAATCCTCCGCCTTGCGGCGCCAGCACACCAGATAATAGTCCCGGTCGGGGCGCCGGAGTCTGTCCCGGTTGCCCCTCTTCCAGGCCAGCTCTCTGCTATGGCCCGGGAGTGCAGTGGAGGATGGCCCAAGTCCTTGGATCCTGCACCCACATGGGAGACCAGGAAAAGCACCTGGCTCCTGGCTTCGGATCAGCGCGGTGTGCCGGCCACAGCACGGCGGCCGCTGCGGCCATTGGAGGGTGAACCAACGGCAAAGGAAGACCTTTCTCTCTGTCTCTCTCTCTCTCTCTCTCACTGTCCACTCTGCCTGTCAAAAAAAAAAAAAAAAAAAAAGTCTGCAGTGTAAGAAAATTTTCATAATTTTGATTGAAATCTTAGGTAAAGACCATTCCTTCTTGTGCCTTAAATGAAACCAAGGATCACTTTATTTCATTATGGTAATTACTTTTAAGCCTAGAATTGAAGTTGGCATTTTCGTAGAATCTGACCAATATTTAACCAAGTTCAATGATTTTATTATATAATTGGCCACCATTCAGGATATACTGAGATAGCTAAAGTCGGTGATGACTTTCAGTCTTACATTATTGAAAATATTATTTTATGGAACCCATCTTTTGCTGCCTTTGTGTTGTTGATACCTTGTGTTTTATTCCAATAATTGTAAGCAACATATATTGAACTCTTAATCTCTCAACTGCTACTCCCTGACATAGATACCATGATTTAAACAACTACCCCAGTAGTGACTGAAAGTTTTCAGTAGTTGAAAAAGAGCAAATTTCCTGTATAGTGAAAGGAATCATCAAGAAGTTAGGTCATTAACAATTTAGTACTTTACTTTTATAACCTTGAAGAAAGTTTCTTTGTGGACTATTGGACTGGGGTCCACAACTTCTCACTGTTGGCCAAAGTCTGCTTTCAGTTTCTGCCATGTGGGCCTCTTCTAACATAGAAGTTTCTTTCATCAAAGTCAAGAACCACAAGAAAAAATTCATCATTGGGCCTCATTCTTTTTTGTATCTTTATTTTATGTATTTATGTATTTATTTATTTGAAAAGCAGAGAGACACCCAGAGAGAGAGAGAGAGAGAGAGAGAGAGAGTGCTTCTCTCTGTTGGTTCACTCCCCAAATGCCTTGGGACAGCCAGGGCTGGGCCAAGCAAAAACTACAAGGCCAAAATACTTAAAATACCCTTACATGGGTAGCAGGGACTCAAGTACTTGGGCCATTATCTGCTGGCCTCCTAAGTGCATTAGCAGGAAACTGGATTAGAGGAAGATTCAGGACTCAAACTAGCACTCTGATAAGGGTACAAGCATTCCAAGCAACAGCCTAATCAACTATATCACAATACCTGACATTGTATCTTTGGCATCTTTCCCTCTTATAGTGCTCTTATTCCATCTGCTTCTTTTTTTTTTTTTAAGATTTTATTTGAGAGGTAAAGTTACAGACAGTGAGAGGGAGAGATAGAAAGAAAGGTCTCCCTTCCATTGGTTCACTCCCCCAAATGGCTGCAACAGCTGGAGCTGTGCCAGTTTGAAGCCAGGAGATAGGTGCTTCTTCCTGGTATCCCATGTGGGTTCAGGGACCCAAGGACTTTGGCCATCTTCCACTTTTCCTAGGACATAGCAGAGAGCTGGATTGGAAATAGAGCAGCCAGGACTAGAACCAGCATCCATATAGGATGCTGGCGCCACAGGTGGAGGATTAACCTACTGCATACAGTGCTGGCCCCTCCATCTGCTTCTACCTCCATGATCTTGGCCCATCAATTACTATTCTTCCCTTTTCCTTAAGTCTCTATCTCTTCCTTCTTTCCCTAAACCTGCTGTGGTGGGCATCATCTAACATGGTTCCCAGTGACATCTGCCACTAGTAGTCATGCTTCTGTGTAATATTCTCCCCCTTGAGTTTGGGGTGAACTAATAACCTGTTTCTACTGAATAGAAGAAAGCAAAAAGTGATAATATATCACTTCCTTAACTAGGTTATAAATGACTCTTAATTACATCTTGCTATTATTCTCTCTCTCTCTCTCTTTCTCTCTTGCACCTTCTTGACTTCTTCACTTTGATGAAGGAAACTTCTATGTTAGAAGAGGGCCACATGACAGAAACTGAGAGCAGACTTTGGCCAACAGTCACTGAGAAATTGTGGCCCTCAGTCCAGTAGTCCACAAAGAACTGAATCCTGACAACAACCATGTGAATGAGTTTGGGAAGTAGATTCTTCTGTAGTTGAGCATTGAAATGGCTATAGGCATATAGTAAAGAATTTATCACTATTCAGTGAAAGGTCTTGCCTTTCCCCTTGGCCTTTTGAGGCCATCTCTAAGTCAACATTGTATTTGATAGTAAAAGTGTATTTTTTGCTGCGGCCTGGATCATGTTGGGTGGTATAGTAATATGATTTGGGTTATTAGATGACCATGCCTGAAAGAACAACAATATACTTTAGAGTAGGCCTTTGGGTAAGGCCTGGAGATGGAGATCAGTCATATGGGTAATAATTCCATAATGCTACATAACATAGCTTCACTACAATATCTGACCTCTGAAGTTTCAGCAGCCTTCCCCGAGCGGCAGTATTCTGTGAACATTGTCACAAAACAATGATGAATGAGTAATGTATCCTGACTCCAGTGGTAAAACACAGTGGAGGTTCTACAAAGTAGAAGTTTAGTACTTCCTTAGACTACCCTAGGTTTGTTTCCCCTGGTTGATTTGAATATGTATCCTTTCCTTATAATAAAACATAACTGTGAGTATAATAGCATTCAAGGAGATTTTGAGAACTCCTTGAAGTTGCAGATGGTGTCAGAGTGAGCACAATCTTGTGTGGACTATCTGGCTCCTAACTGGTAGCTGCCTAAGCTGCTGTAATAGCATTGCTTTTGGCTAACCGCTGACTGTGGCTGACAATTTGATTGCAGCCTGTAAAAGTCCTTAAAGCAGAGGATCCAGCTAAACTACATCCAGATTCCTGGATAAGATAATCTGTCTTGTTGAGATAATAAAATTTTATCTTCAGAAAATCTGAGATAAATTTTATTGTTTCAAGCCACTAAATTTTGACATTACAAAGCAATTGGTAACTAATATAGCCACTAGCATACCGAAAATCTCAAAGCAAAACAAACAATAAACAGAACTCAAAAAACAATAAAGCAAAATAAACCTTGCTTGTGAGTATCTAAATAGTCATATTGATTCTAAATTTAACCAAATGGTGATAAGCTCCTTTTAGGTGTCACTCTGTTTTTCTGGGAAACCTATTCATAATCACAGTTTCTATTCCTAATTCTGCAAAGTTTACTCTAAAATGCATAACTCATTCTAAAACCTTTCCTTTGCGTTTCATAGCTGTAAATGTAACTGCTTATTAGTATCTCCTCATGGATGTCTTAAAAACCTTCCATTTTGGTTTTTCATAATGAATACATCATGGTTTCTCCAAAACCAGATCTTTTTATAAAAATGTCATCCCTGTGAATGATTCCATATTCTTTCTTGACCGAATACCTAAAGCTTTTATAGTAGTCTACTTCAACAATCTTGTCTCCCTTATTTCCACATTTATTTCCTTACCAAGAGTCAGTTTTACTTAAATTTGTCAGAACCCAGCCATATATATAAAGCTATGAAGAATTGTGACTATCTCTCATCAAGAACTACAATAACTTCATAACTTGTCATCTAGCATTCACTCTGCCTGTGATCTTCACCCATGTCTTTTCCACCTTTCACTGAAGTGATTTTTTCCCCATAATGCTAGGATGAAAAGATCAATATTTACCCTCTTTAAAAAATCACTGCCCTGAAGATTGAGACAAACTTAATATGGCATATGAATATTTTTATTCCTGTGTACCTGTATCACTTCCTTGGGGAAGCCTTCCATCACTTCCCTAGTAATGCCAAATGCTTATATTGTAGGTAGCCACATAGCTCACATGGGAAGTATATGCTACAGGTGCAATTTTCTATTGACATAGGTAATTATTTGATATTTTTAATATCTTATACTACACTGTAGTTTCAAGAGGGGAGGAACTTTTACTTAACACTATACCTTCAAAGTACAGCAACTTTATCTTGAGGATACTCAGTGTTTCCCAGATAAATAATGGGTGAATGTATTGTTGAAGTGTATTTTTCATGTAATAGAAAGATCAGGGTGATTTTGAAGATAGATTTCATTTTGATGCCTGTCTTTATTTATTCTGTTGCTGCATTCAAGCCACATTATCTCTCTTGAGATCTACTTTTTCGATTTGTACCTGCCTGGCCTGTTGTGATAATTACATTAAAAAGGTAAGTAAAGCCTCCACAGTAATGTAGTATGAACTGTCCAGCCTTTGTTTTGAGTTTGCTTGAATCCTAAGGATTGGAATAAGATAGAAGGTAGCCCTGATCTGTAGTGTTACGGAAGTTGTAAACCTTTAAAAAGATATGCAAATACATTAGTAGAAAACATATAGATGTCAGGACCAGTGCTATGGTATAGTACGCTAAACTTCTGCCTGTGGTGCTGGCATCCCATGTGGGCACTGGTTTGTGTCCCAGCTGCTCCTCTTCCAATCCAGCTGTCTGCTATGGCCTGGGAAAGCAGTGGAAGGTAACCCTGAAGAAGTTCCAGGCTCTTGGCTTCAGATCTGTTTAGCTCTGGCCATCACGACCATTTGGGGAATGGACCAGCAGATGGAAGACCTTTCTGTCCGTCTCTCCTGCTCTCTGTCTGTAACTCTGCCTCTCAGATAAATAAATAAAAGCTTAAAAAAAAGAAAGAAAACATAGTGTCAAATAAAACATATTAATTGGCCCAATTGGCCTTCTGGCTTCTAGTCTGAAATCCTTCAATCTAATCTGGATCAGAATATCGCTATGCAAATGAAGATGGATTTGTAAATACTTATTTTAAATAGATAAACCTGTTTTGTTCCCTCTACCTTCTGCTTTTCTTTTTTTAAGATTTACTTATTTGAGAAGTAGAGTTACAGAGAGAAGGAGAGACAAGGTCTTCCATATGCTGCTGGTTCACTCCCCAAATGGCTGCAATGGTTGGAGCAGATTTGATCCATAGTCAAGAGCCAAGAGCTTCTTTGGATCTCCCATGCAAGTGCAGGGACCCCAGCACCCGAGCCACTTTCCACTGCTTTCCGAGGCCATAAGCAGAGAGCTGGATTGGAGGAGGAGCAGCTAGGCCTCCAACTGGCAGCCATATGGGATGCCAGTGCCGTATGCAGAAGCCTAGCCTACCACACCACAGTGCCAGCCCCTGCCTTCTGCTTTTTTTTTTTTTTTTTGACAGACAGAGTGGACAGTGAGAGAGACAGAGAGAAAGGTCTTCCTTTGCCGTTGGTTCACCCTCCAATGGCCGCCGTGGCCAGCGCGCTGCGGCCGGTGCACCGCGCTGATCCGGTGGCAGGAGCCAGGAGCCAGGTGCTTTTCCTGGTCTCCCATGGGGTGCAGGGCCCAAGCACCTGGGCCATCCTCCACTGCACTCCCTGGCCACAGCAGAGAGCTGGCCTGGAAGAGGAGCAACCGGGACAGAATCCGGCGCCCCGACCGGGACTAGAACCCGGTGTGCCGGCGCCGCAAGGCGGAGGATTAGCCTAGTGAGCCGCGGCGCCGGCCCTGCTTCTTAACACATCTAAAAGATTCTATGTATATTTTGACAAGGATTTCTTGGTTGACACTCGCTCTAAGACCACAGGGAATGAAGAAACAGTGGTTTGTGAATACAAAAGCTTAGTGCTGTCACCAAAGGAAGAAGGATGAGATGCTATATAGGTCAGCCAGCAGATACCCTTTCTGCATCCCTGACTGGTAGAATTTTCTTATTTTAATGTATTCCGCACAATTCACTTCCTCTGTGATGTCACTTCCTATCAAAATCCCTCTGTTCAGCGAAAATAAGCGATTGTCTCTTTTACATTTTTTATAAGTATATGTAATTACCTTTACTTTTTTTTAAAGATTTATTTTATTTCTATGAAAGATGGAGTTACAGAGAGGATAGAGACAGAGAGAGAGAAGGGTCTTCCATCTGTAGGTTCATTCCCCAGATGGCTGCAGTGGCCAGAACTGAGCCAATCCAAAGCTAGGAGCTTCTGGGACTCCCACATGGATACAGGGGCTGAAGGACTTGGGCCATCCTCCATTGCATTCCCAGGCACATTAGCAGGGAACTGGATTGAAAATGGAGTAGCCGGAACTCGAACTGGTGCCCATATGGGATGCCAGCACTGCAGGCCGGGGCTTTAATTGCTGTACTACAGCACCGGCCCCATGTAATTACCTTTAATGTGCCACATTACCTTTAATGTGCTAGAATGTGTCTGCCTGCCTCTTAAAAGCAGCTTCCTCTAAGAAAGATTCCACCCATAGATAGCCTGGTACTTCCTATTCTGCTTCTAGTGACAGCTTCTTGCATCTTGTCTTCAGTTACCTGGTTTCCCCTTTTCCTGCCCTCTTCTCTAATTGTAGATCCTTAACCCTATTCCTAAGACGTTTGTAATTTCTCACTTATCTCAAAGCATCTTCTGTAACTTGCCGTACAAACTCCATGACCCTGGCTATCTGCCAACACTTCACTTCTCTGACCAATGGCTAAACTGAAGGCCGTCCCAATGCTTTATACTTCCTTCCTTCCTTCCTTCCTTCCTTCCTTCCTTCCTTCCTTCCTCCCTCCCTCCCTCCCTCCCTCCCTCCCTTCCTTTTTGACAGGCAGAGTGGACAGTGAGAGAGAGAGACAGAGAGAAGTCTTCCTTTTCTGTTGGTTCACCCCCCAATGGCCGCTGCGGCCGGCCTGCTGCACTGATCCAAAGCCAGGAGCCAGGTGCTTTTCCTGGTCTCCCATGGGGTGCAGGGCCCAAGCACCTGGGCCATCCTCCACTGCACTCCCTGGCCACAGCAGAGAGCTGGCCTGGAAGAGGAGCAACCGGGACAGAATCTGGCGCCCCGACCAGCACTAAAACCCAGTGTGCCGGCGCTGCAGGCGGAGGATTAGCCTAGTGAGCTGCGGTGCTGCCTATAGTTCTTTTCTAAATGTCCTTGGGTTAGATTTTCACTTCACACTGGTAGGACACATAAGTTTTTTGTTTTGTTTTGTTTTGTTTTGTTTTTTTTTGACAGGTAGAGTTATAGACAGTGAGAGAGAGACAGACAGAGAAAAAGGTGATCCTTCTGTTGGTTCACTCCCTAAATGGCCACTACGGCTAGCATTGCGCTGATCTGAAGCCAGGAGCCAGGTGCTTCCTCCTGGTCTCCCATGCGGGTGCAGGGGCCCAAGGACCGGGGCCATCCTCCACTTACCTCCCAGGCCACAGCAGAGAGCTAGACTGGAAGAGGAGCAACCAGGACTAGAACTGGCGCCCATATGGGATGCCAGTGCCACAGGCGGAGGATTAACCAAATGAGCTATGGTGTCGCTCCCCCTCTTCATGGAGGAACGACACAGGACCCTGCGCTGTTCTTTGGTCTGCTCGGCCCTCCCCGGGTTTGCTGCTGGTTCTTCCTGGGTTGGCTACCGTCCCTTCCACATCCGTGGAAGGGCGGTTCCCCCTGCCACTTTTCCCCACTTCCGCGGGGGAGCGGCACACCGCTGGCTGGCTCTCTTGGGGGCTGCACAGGTGTTCCTTCAGATAGATGTTCCCCTTAGATGTTCCTGGTGCGTGTTGGCTCTCTCCTCCTTTATAGTCCCCTTCCACCAATCCCAACTCTGCTACCCACACGCCGAGTACGCTGCTCTCCTCCAATCAGGAGCAGGTCCTACAGTTTATTGGTTGAACTGGAGGCAGCTGTGCAGAAGCCGTTTCTCCCTTCTCAGCGCCATATTGTGGGAGAGCAGATGCACAGAATAAGTCCTAATTCCAGTAACTTAGTCTAGTCCGAGTTGCTCCCAGTTGCTCCCCACACCATGGCACCGGCCTAGGACACATAAGTTTTTAACATATATACACAGAATAATCATGCTTGTCTATGTCTTCACTGGACTTGCCTAACCTTGCTATTTGTTTATTATGTTCTCAGAATCTAGGATAGTACCTGAAAATAGTAGTGCCTTAAAAATTCTTTTTGATTATGTGGATAAAATATTGCATCTGTTATTTAATTATCAGCAATCATATCTATGCTTTGGAAACCTTTTTGAAAGATCTTATAATGGCCTTAGAGTTTCAGCTGAGGCACGAATATGAGAAAAATAACTGTCTGAGCTGCTATATCACCATTGCAAAGGAGGTTCCACAAACCGGCTTTTGTCAGCAAATTTGCTTTTAGTAGGGATGAATTCAGATGGGTAGAATTTCTAGAATGAAGCCTTTATATAGATTAGGAAAAGATAGCTTCGGTGGCTCCCCTTTCCAAGAGGAACTTCAGAGAACCACTTAGAGAGGATGACATTTGTCCTCTGGCATTTGAATCTGTGTCAGTGCTGACAAAATAAAGGTAAAAGCTTGGCCAAAGTGACTTGTGGTGGCAGGACAAGGAGAGTGCTCTGGAAAGAGTAAACTGTACTTTCAACTGGAGTAGGGAAATCATGTGTGCTTCCTGGGGGAAGATTCCAGATGTGAGGTATCTTAGGAGGCATTTTGTATTAAAACAGTTGCCTGTAGGCATCAGGTGGCATCAAAAGAAAGAGACTAGAGAGGGGCTATTGGAAACCAGCCACGAGGTGGGAGGATGGTCATTTATAGCAAAAATTGTATCAGATCTCATACTTGCTTAAAATACTACAGTGATGTTTTGATGGGGATCTCATAAAATCTGTAGACTATCTCTGATAGTATGAGCATTTTCACAATGTTAATTCATCTAATCCATGAACATGGAATACTTTTTCATTTTTTATGTATCCTTTATAATTTATTTCATTAGTGTTTTATAATTTTCACTGTGGAGATCTTTCACTTTGTTGGTTAAATTTTGTCCTAAATATTTTTGATAACTATTGTGAATGAAATTGATTTCTTTTTTATTGTTTGTTATTGTTTTTTGTATGTTGGCTTCATGTCCTTAAAACATACTGAATTTATCAATTGTAACAGCCTTTTGATGGAGTATTTAGTTTTTTCTGTGTATAAAATCATGTCATCTGCACATATGGATAGTTAGACTTCCTCCTTTCCAGTATCAGTGCCCTCATTTCTTTCTCTTGTCTAATTTCTCTTCCTAAGATTTCCAACACTTATAGAATAAGTGATAAAAACAAACACCCTTGTCTTCTTCCAGATCTTAGAAGGAACACTTTGAGTTTTCCCTATTTCAGATGATATTGATTATTGGTTTGTCATATCTAGTCTTTATTATCATGAGTTATGTTCCTTCTGTACCTAATTTTTTGAGAGTTAAGGAATGTGGAATCTTATAAAAATCTTTCTCTGAATCCATTGAGAAGAATGACATTCTTTACAGAATAGAAAAAAACAAGCATATGATTCATATGGAATCATGAAAGTCTCAGAATAGCCAAAGTGATCCTGAGGAAAACAAATGACACTGAAAGTATCACAATACCCTACCACAGCATACTATAAAGCCATAGTAATCAAAACAGCATGGTACTGGTATAAAAACTGACATATAGAATGATGGTTTAGAATGGAAAACCCAGAAATCAATCACATGTATATATCCAACTGATTTCTGACAAAGGTGCCAAGAACATACATTAGAGAAAAGACATTTTCTTAAATAAGTGGTGCTGCCAAAATTGGATATAGAGGTATAGAATGAAATTAGATCCCCACCTCTCATCATATACAAAAATCAACTCAAAATGGATCAAAGGCCTAATTGTATGACCTGAAACCATAAAATTACTGGAAGAAAACAAAGAGGAAACACTTCAAAGCATTGATGTAGACAAAGATTTTTTTGGTTAAGACCCCAAAAGCACAGGTAACAAAAGTGAAAATAGACAAATGGAATTATATCAAAATAAGTTTCTGCACAGCAAAGGAAACAAAGGGTAAAGAAACAACTAGTAAATTGATAGAAAATATTTACAGACTATTCATTTGACAAGAAATTAATATCCAGAGCACATAAGGAACTCAACAGCATCAAAAACGCAAATAATCCAACTTAAAAATGTGTAAATGATCTGAGAAGACCTTTCTCAAAAAATATATATAAATGATTAACATGAATATGAGAAAGCCGGCGCCGTGGCTCAATAGGCTAATCCTCCGCCTTGCGGCGCCGGCACACCGGGTTCTAGTCCCGGTCGGGGCGCCGGAGTCTGTCCCGGTTGCCCCTCTTCCAGGCCAGCTCTCTGCTATGGCCAGGGAGTGCAGTGGAGGATGGCCCAGGTGCTTGGGCCCTGCACCCCATGGGAGACCAGGAAAAAGCACCTGGATCCTGGCTCCTGCCATCGGATCAGCGCGGTGCGCCGGCTGCAGCGGCGGCCATTGGAGGGTGAACCAACGGCAAAGGAAGACCTTTCTCTCTCTGTCTCTCTCTTTCTCACTGTCCACTCTGCCTGTCAAAAAAAAAAAAAAAACATGAATATGAGAAATGCTCAATATCACTCACTAATCGTGAAGAAAATATAAATAAAACCAAGCAAGATATCATCCCCAGAACTGTTCTAATTTCTATTACCAAACCCTCCCCACCAAAAAAAAAAAAAAATCATATGCTGATGGGAATGTGGAAGAAAGGGGAACTCTTATAAGCTACTGGTGGGAATATAAAATACTGCAACTACAATGTAAAACAGTGCAAAGATTCCTTTAAAAACTAAAACTCTACCATGTAATCCAGCTATTCCACTACTGGATATATGTTCAAAGAAATGATGCCTGTACTTTCATGTTTATTGCAATGCTATTCATAGTAGTTTAGATATAGAATCACCCCAGAAATACATCAATAAGTGAATGAATAAAGAAAATATAGTATATACACACAGTGGAGTATTATTCAACCATAAAGAATTAAATGTTGACATTTATAGCAAAATGGATGGAACTGGAGACATTATGTTAAGTGAAATAAGCTAACATAGAAAAACAATTATTGCATGTTCTCCTGAATATGTGGAAGCTTTTATTAAAAAAAAAGTCCTGAACATGAAATGTATTACTAGAAACTTGGAAGAATGGAGGTAGAGGAGGATAAAATGAGGCAGATTAACAGGTAGTAAAACACATCATAAGTTCTAATGTTTCATAGTACATTAGGATAACTATAGTTCACAATAACCTGCTACATGAGAGTACTACAAAGAGTAAACAGAGAAATATAATTAAAAAATAATTTGTATTTTGTACAAAAAATTTGAAAACCATGCAGAGTCTTTTCATAATGCATATTTTCCATAGATTTTATGAATATCCCTGGAGTATTTTGTGAAGAAGTAGAAGAGAGGAAGTTGAAGGTTCCAATCATGAAGTAATGACAAAGAGAAACATTGAATCCTGACTTGATTAGTACACAATAGATACATTTATTAAATATCATACCATACTCCATACATATGTATAATTAGTAAGTGTTAATTTTTTAAAAAATCAAAGGAGATGGAAATGTTAACTAATCTGATTTGATCACCATACATGGAATACAGTGGCCTCCTTTCAGTAAAATATGAACTAATTATCTTTATGATTTTACCTCTTCCCTTGCCTACAATCTCATTCTGTACAACTTCTCACATCTCTTGTATCAGCCATACTGGCCTTCTTTCAATACAGTGTATTCTTCTCTGCTTCAAAATGTTTGCACAAGCTGTGCCTTATGCCAGAAGTTTTTATTCTCTTGCTTTAAGTCTTGGGGCTTTTTCATTCTTGAGATCTTGACTAAACTCCCTTCCCTAATAGAGAATTATGAATCCCTCCATTTAACATAAATTTCTGTTAATTTGAGTTGGGGAAAATCTGCAAGTAGTGTAAAACTCAGTACAATTGTGATTTAACAAGAAAAAAATGTTTCTTCGCCTCTCATATGAGAGTCATGTAAGCAATCTAGATCTGGCAGTATTGTATAGTTTCAGGATCCAGGAACCTGAATCCTGTGTCTTCAGTATGTGGCCTCTATTTTAAATTTGCCTTGTGCTTTTAGTGCAACCAGAACATGTATAGTCCAGCTGACAGGAAGAAGAACAAGGAAGGTGATAAGACCTTTTAAGATCAGTTGTACAAGTTGATCATTCTACATCTGCTTAGGTATCGCTGACCTGAATTTACACATCACAGTCAGCGACAAGTTAGGCAAGCCAGGAAAGATAATCCTCATTATGGCTGGCCACATACCTAACTAAAAATTAGGGGACAAGTTAAAATGGATGTAAGGGACAAGTTGTAGCTGCTACAGCAAACACCCATTAGTTCCATTTTCCCACAGCATTAAATTATAGAGGCTAGAACTTTTCTCTTTCATAGAAACTTTTGACCACTCATTATAAAGTAAATTTCTGTAATAGTTTGAGTCAGACTGAGCTGCAAGTGACAGGCAATTTGGTATAAAAGTGTCTTCACAAGAAAACAATTTAATGCCCTTTCAAATGCAAGTCATTTAATCTGTATATTTACATGGTGCTTTATAGTATCCAGAAAGGGAATAATCAAATTGTATCAGTTATATCACTCATCATAATATATCCAGTGAGCCAAATCTGGCATGCCACCTGTTTGTAAGAGTAATATTTTATTGGAACACAACCACATCTATTGATTAAAGTTTTACTCATGATTGCTTTCTCACATAATGGCAGAGTAGAGTTTGCAACCAAGAGTTTATGGCCCTCAAGGACTAAACTTTCTACTATCTGTCCCTTTATAGAAAAAAATTGCCAACCGTTGAGTTATATTAACTGGTTTGTTGAATAACATTATTTAAAGGCATTAATTTCCTTGGAACACTGAGAATTTTCTGCTGAAAACCAGCAGTTGTTAAGAAAGTGTTTTTTTAATTTTTTCCTACAATACAATGCACACCACCACCAAATATATTCTTTAATTTTTTTTTCCTTTGGGAAGTAAGATGATGATATTTTAGTTTTGTTACTTTACCTTGTTATCTTGCTAATTCTAATAATGTCACCAGTCTAAAAATTCTTGTGCCAGAGCAGGAAGTTACCTTAGTGGCTATTATGTGGCATACTCTACTGTGCTACCCAGATTCCCTCTTAAAATGAAATACTTATTTCCCTAGCTGTGGAAGTTTTGTTGTCAGCTTGTAGCTGTTAACCCCTTTCAGAACTGCTTTTGGTAAAGAGAGCCTCCTTACCCAAAGTGGGACATCTCTTCCCTTCAGAGAAAGGTACCTCCTTCTTTGATGACCTGTTCTTTCCACTGGGATCTCACTCGTGGAGATCTTTCATTTAGGTCATTTTTTTTTTTTTTTTGGCCAGAGTGTCTTGGCTTTCTATGCCTGAAATACTCTCATGGGCTTTTCAGTCAGATCCGAATGCCTTAAGGGCTTATTCTGAGGCCAGAATGCTGAAAAATAACTTTCTTAAAAACAGCATATGCTGTAGCTAGGATTTGTTTATCCATTAAGCCTGACAATTTGACATTTCATTGGTGTGTTTAGATCAATTTCATTTAATATAATTATTAATATGGTTGTGTTTAGGTCTACCCCACTAGGTTTTGTTATTGTTCCCTTGTTTCCTCTTTATCGAATGTTTTGGATTGTTTAACTCAAGACATTTTTGCCTAGGTTGATGTCTTGAAATCTTTCCTCTATTAATTTGGTGGTTTCAGGTCTTAGGTTTAGGTCATTGATCCATTTTGAGTTGATTTTTGTATAGGGAATAATGTGATTGTCTTATTTCAAACTTTTGCATGTGGAAATCAGATT